GCTAAAATAAGTTAAGTTAAAGTGAACATTCTTATTTGCAGAGTAGACAGAATTGGCAGATCCCAAACTTATTGATTTCATCTCTCTCACTGTGGGAAGTCCAACGAGATGAAATCTAGAGAAGTACGTTAGTAAAACAGATGTCTGTGCAGAAAATAAAAGAAATCGTAAAAGGCAGTCCCATTCACCATTATCTATTCACGGCCTAGCCCTACAAGTGTTAGAGACGAGGGAGCTCAACTCAGGAAGCAGGATAGAGGCAGCACTCAGCGGGAAAAAGGAAGACAGGAGTGGCACATCCTTCTAAATAGAAAAAATATAGCAGAAAGAAAGGGGATTGAAAGCCATGAGCACTCCAAAATGAGGGAGGAGGGTATGTCAAGAAACATATGAGCAGTGCTGGCCTTCACCAGGGTTTGGGAAGGTGATTGGTTCTCCAGCAGAAACAAATGTGAGGGGGAGGGGGAAGCTTCTCCAAGAAGCAGGTTCCGTAGCTCCAAGCAGGTTCTGCCCCATGGCAGGACTGCAAACACCTGCACACAGGTGAGAGTGTCTGGGGACAACCAAGCTGGTCAACCAAGAGGGTGGGGCCTTGAATATCACTGCTGTGATGAGATGATCACACTAAGCAGGTTTCTCAGTTTCACAGGAAGGCAGCAATGCCTCCGAGTCTCATTGTTTGAGATAGGAAAGAGCAGGCAGAGATGGCATTTTCCCTAGATAGTGGAAACAGCACCATCCTTAACATGGATGATGAGACAGTTTCCCAGTTGAATTCAAGTGCAGACGTTGTGGATTCCAGACCCTCAGGCACAGACCGGCTTCCTGGCATGACTAAAACCAAAAGGATTTTCCTATCCTCCTCCTTCACTCAGATGTCGTCGAGGGTCTTCCATGGCTGTTGGAAACATTAAACAGTGTACTTTAACATAATTTTGCCTGAGAAAATGCTTTAAGGAATGGCAATTTCCTTGTTTGCTAAATGTCATGAGGGAAAGCCCAGTGCTTTAATAATTGCATGGATTCCTTGAATCACTGGATCTAAAAACCAAGGAACGTCAGATAATTATTAACGTGCTAACACAACCTTCAGAGAACCTGGAAGAATCCATTCCAGTGAGCATTCCCAGGCTGCAGCTGCAGAGGGAACCCCAACTCCACCCGGCATCTAGAATATTCCTGGATAAGAAGAAGCTGAATAACAAGTAAGGGAAGATGAGTTGGGACTTTACTTTAAAGAATACATATAATTTCTTTGGATTTTTCATCCAATTTTGCTTTACATTTGATTCCTTTGTGTTTCAATGTCTTTGAACATCAACTGATGAGGGACTTTGATTTTGCCCCCAAAATATATAATAGGAGATGATTAATATTCAAACGTGGGGTATATTAGCATTTTCATGCTGGTGATAAAGACACACCAGAGACTGGGTAATTTATGAAGAAAAAGAAGTTTAATGGACACACAGTTCCACATGGCTGGGGAGGCCTCACAATCATGGCAGAAGGCAAAAGGCACGTCTTACATGGTGGCAGACAAGAGAGACTGAGAATCAAGTGAAAGGGCTTTTCCCTTATAAAACCATCAGATCTCATGAGACTTATTCATGACCACAAGAACAGTACGGGGAAAACCACCCCCATGATTCAATTATCTCCCACCGGGTCCATCCCACAACATGCGGGAATTATGGGAGCTACAATTCAAGATGAGATTTGGGTGGGGACACAGCCAAACCATATCACAGGGACCTCTCTATTTTGTTAGTAGATGGTTATTGGAACATGTCTCAGGGCCATCCAGTTGCATAATCCTAGCAGGCATAATTCACATTGCTCATCAAGATAGGTTAAGTGATGCCAACAACAACAACAAGAACAAATAACTGTGAAATAAATTGTGCAATGCACTCCATGTTTATTGCAGCACTATTCAAAAAAGTCAAGATTTGGAGCAACCTAAGTGTCTGTGAACAGACGAATGGATAAAGAAAATGGGATACATATACACAAGAGAGTACTATTCAGCCATTAAAAAAAGAAAAAAAAAAAAGAATGGGAGGTCAAGGCAGGTGGATCACGAGGTCAAGAGATTGAGACCATCCTGGCCAACATGGTGAAACCCTGTCTCTACTAAAAATAAAAAGATTAGCCGGGCGTGGTGGTGGGCACCTGTAGTCCCAGCTACTCGGGAGACTGAGGCAGGAGAATGACTTGAACCCAGGAGGCTGAGGTTGCAGTGAGCCGAGATCATGCCACTGCACCTCAAAAAAAAAAAAAAAAAAAAAAAAAAAAAAAGAATGAGGTCCTGTCATCTGCAACAACATGGCTGGAACTGGAGGTCATTATGTTAAGTGAAATAAGCCAGGCACAGGACAAACTGAATGTTCTCACTTATTTGTGGGAGCTAAGAAAATTAAAACAATTGAACTCATAGAGATAGAGAGTAGAATGATGGTTAGCAAAGGCTGGAAACAGTAGTTGGGGAAAGGGGTGTAGGGATGGGTAATGGGTACAAAAATACAATTAGAACGAATAAGATCTACTATTTGATAGCACAACAGGACGACTATAGTCAATAATTTATTGAACATTTAAAAATAAGAGTATAATGGTTTATAACACATAAACCATTGTTTATGCTTGAGGTGATGGATACCACATTTACCCTGATGTAATTATTATACATTTTATGCCTGTAGCAAAATATCTCATGTGCCCCATAAGTATGTACACCTACTATGTACCCACAAAAGTTAAAAATAAGTAAACTGTACAAGTAGTTAAAAAAAACTCTTCCTTAATGAAAAAAAAAAGAAACTAGAACCATAATTATTTTTAATGTATTTATTATTCTTAACTGGTTTAGGATTAGTGTACAGGTGTCTATATTTTCCAATTCTCTGGAAGTTTTATTTTATGGTGGTAAAATATATACCAAAAAATTTATTATTGACATTTAGCATATTCACAACGTTGTGTAACAATCACTACTCTCTAGTTCCAGACCATTTTCTGATTTTCTGGAATGATTTGTGTAATACAGAATTCTCTCTGCTTTGAAGGTAACTTTATATCCAACATGTTACTATGCCCATCAAATTTCATTTCTACTGGGCTCCTTCCTCTGTTTCTGAGAGAGATGGAGTGGTCTCATCTCTCTCAGACTACAGAATTTTATGACTACAGAATTTATGCATTTTTCTCATATATATATTTTTTTATAGAGGTGGGGTCTTGCCATGTTGCCCAGGCTAGTCTCTAACTCCTGAGCTCAGGCAATCCTCCCACCTCGGCCTCCCAAAGTGTTGGGATTACAGACAATGAGCCACCATGCCTGGCTCTCTTCTCATATTTCTAACAGTTCTTACTTTATATATTTCATAGCATGTGGGCATGTCTACAGAAGTTTGTGATCAAAATATTAAATTCTATTCGGATTAGCTCTCTCAACCCAATCTGAGCAACTCCATCTATTATTCGGTAAATTTAATCAACTTATATTTGACTATTATTTTGATGTTTGTCCCCTCCAAATCTCATGTTGAAATGTGATCCCCAATGTTCGAGGTGGGGCCTGGTGGGAGGTGTTTAGGTCATGGGGGGCAGATTCCATGGTGCTTAGATTGCTTGGTGCTGTCCTCAGGATGAGTGGGTTCTCCCTCTGAGTTCACGCGAGATCCGGTTGTTTAAAAGTGTGTGGCACCTCCCCACCTCTCTCCTGCTCACATCGCATCACAATGTGATGTGTCTGCTCCCCTCTGCCTTCCACCATGATTGGAAGCTTCCTGAAGCCTTCACCAGGAGCAGATGCCAGCACCATGGTTCCTATACAGCCTGCAGAACCATGAGTGAATAAACCTCTTATAAATTACCCAGTCTCAGGTGCTCCTTTATAGTAACACACAAATGGACACACACACCTGCCATCTAATTTTGTTTCTTATTTGCCAAGATTTTCTGTTGTTCTCCCCATCCCCAACTGTTCATTCCTTATGTTTGATTTCATTGATGTGGTCATTGCTGTCTTCCCTTTAATGTTTTGGACGTTGGACATCCTTTCTTTTCTCCCAGTGGTCATCCGAAATGCTTAACATGCATATTTAAATGTTCCTTTTCTACCAGCATATTAATCAGTGCTGACCCAGTAAATCAAAAATTTCAGCTCAACTTCACTGTTTTCTTAGTTCCATCACTGATCACTCCCACCCCTGCTCCCATGTTGAGATCATTGAGGGCATTAGAGATTCATTCATTCACTGAGCGGGCACTCAATGAGCACATACTGTGAGCTGGGCAAATTCCAAGCTCTGGGCATGCAGCACAGAATGTGTCTTACAGGATTCCTACCTTCACAGAAGGAGACAAAAATAGAAAAATGTATTCGATCTTAGTTGTTCCCCAATATGGGATGGCCTCGTTGGGAAGGTGACTTGCGAGTGGCAAGGAAACATCAGAGTGTGGGAGGGTCCAAGGGGCGTAGAGGGATGAGGGGCAGCAGGCCTGAGTGGGCACTTGCCTGGCAGGGTCCAGGGAGCTGATGGGCAGTGAGCAAGCGGGCCATTGACCTTAACCAAGGCCGCATGCCTAACCCAGGTCAGTGGAGTATGGGAAGTGTAGTGGGAAGCACTGCAGGGAATCAAACAGGCTCGCTGCTCCAAACCACTTCCCTGGTAATCATCCAGACAAATGCCCAGGTCCCTTTCGCCCTTTGCAGCCACCAAGAAGCTCAGAGTTCCCCCAAACTATCTTCCCTGGGTGGCAGGCTTCTCTGCACATTCTGCGCTGGTTTCCTCCATATTTGTTCTGCTGCACGTCCAATGCAGTCTGCCTTTTTATCCTCAGGAATTCTGCAACATGTTAATATAATCCACCTTTACGGTTTTATTCTTATTTCTTTTCCAAAACTATCCATTTTAAGCAGGTAGTCCTCAAAGATAACTAGCCACACTACCTTCTCTCAAAACAATGCTATGAACACTCACCAAGAAAACAACACATGCATTATAAGTTTTATTTATAAGACTGGAACAGACAAGAATACTAGTTTGAGGGTTTTTTCCAATTTAAATTAACTAATAAAGTGGGAAGAATGACACAAAAGCTGCTATTTACAAAAGACAAGTATGATTAAAGAAGGTCAGTTTTTATTCCAAAATAGGAATAATGAGATATACAAAGTGATCATTTTATAAACACTGATCTAAATATTTAATACTCGTGGACTTTTTTTCTTAGGAAAAAAAGATTGACATCAACTCTTCGGCATCATCTTTTACAATCATTTATTCTTGGATTGTTATCCATTAGAGTGCTTATAAATGTCTAGGATAGATGTGTAAATGCATTCTGAGGCCAGGCGCCTGTAATCCCAGCACTTTGGGAGGCTGAGGTGGGCAGATCACCTGAGGCCAGGAGCTCAAGACCAGCCTGGCCAACATGGCAAAACCCCGTCTCTACTGAAAAAAAAAAAAAAAATTAGCTGGGCATGGTGGTGGGTGCCCATAATCCCAGCTACTCGGGAGACTGAGGCTGGAGAATCACTTGAACCCAGGAGGCAGAGGTTGCAGTGAGCTGAGATCGTGCCATTGCATTCCAGCCTGGGCAGCAAGAGTGAAACTCCGTCTCAAAAAAAAAAAAAAAAAAAAAAAAAAAAGAATGCATTCTGATGATTACCTTGAACTGTCTTTAAACTTTTCCTTCAAGTTATGTGCCACTTCAAAACCAGTGTGGCATTGAGGGTAGGAGAGTGGGAGAAGGGAGACCTGGACTGCAGAGTCCAGAGATCAGAACTTTGAACTGTGCTTCTAGCTCTTTCCAGTAGTGAGACCTTGGAAAGGTAGACTCTTTGCATCTCAACCTTCTCATCTTTCAAAGGGGAAGAGTAATTCCAATCACACAAGAAAGGACTGAAGAAGATGAACAAGATGATCACTGTCCAGGTGCCTAGGCAATGGGTGGCCTCTCAACTGCGGCTTTAAAAACCATTCTGGGCCGGGCGCGGTGGTTCACGCCTGTAATCCCAGCACTTTGGGAGGCCGAGGCAGGCGGATCACAAGGTAAGGAGATCGAAACCATCCTGGCTAACATGGTGAAACCCCATCTCTACTAAAAAATACAAAAAATTAGCTAGGCGTAGTGGCGGGTGCCTGTAGTCCCAGCTACTCGGGAGGCTGAGGCAGGAGAATGGTGTGAACCCGGGAGGCGGAGCTTGCAGTGAGCCGAGATCACCACTGCACTCCAGCCTGGGCAACAGAGCGAGACTCTGTCTCCAAAAAAAAAAAAAAAAAAACAAACCTTTCTGTCAGCCTGTGAAGGGGTGAGCCCTAAGAAATCCATCTCCCTGCCTCCTCTCTTCTGCTCCCACCTCCTCTCTAGCCAAGCAAGATTCTTCCCTGAGGAACCAAACATCAGTAAGAGAAAATGAGCTACTTCAGGAACTGAAAACTAAACTCTAGTAAATTACAGCCATAAGTCCAGTTCTCATCTACTATTTTATATATCACTTTGGTTGTTTTCATTGTTTTTTGGTTGTTTTCATTGTTTGTTTCAAGTAAGCAATGTGGTCCTTTCTCCTTTGTGAGGCAAATTTTAGGTCAACCTCTGTTAGCCTCATCTTCTCCTCCCCAACCCCCCCCAGAAAACCCTTTTAGTTTTAAAGAAAGTTTCTTTGCATTTTTGCCCTTTCCAAGAGGTAGGGTATTTACCCTACATTATTTTAATAGGATCATATTTGCTCTGAAGTAAATCAATTTGTTTAACTTTATTAAATTTGATGCCTTTGGGCTAGCCTCTGAAACAGCAAACTTATAGGCAATTAAATAATTCTTATTATAACGATCTACTTATTTTTTCTTGTCTCCAGCCTTTACAGTTAAAATGTTCCTTTGGAATATTGCTTTGTAGGAGGTTACAGGGGAACCTACTTGGCTGAAATCCCATCTACTGAAATACTGGCACTGCTACAAAATAACCCAAGATTCTTTAGAACTAAGAGAAAAAAATCAGGTTTGTTCATGGAAGCACACGAATGTCAGGACAGGAAGCAAATATTTGTTCCTCGTGAAACAGGCTTTAAAACAGCCCTGGGCAATGGGCTGGCCCAGAACTTGGGAGTCTCAAGTTTTCATTCCCACCCACTGCGGAGTCTTTTCCTGGCTCCCAGGACCACAGCCTCAGGGGCCCACATGTACTATGAGGGGCTGCGCTGCAGACAGTCCCTGGGGTCCATTCCAGTCAAACACCCCACAATTCCAGGCCTCCCTTTAGCCTCAACAGCATGAGGGCTCTGAGCACTCATCTCTTCCAGAAAACTCGCCGCTGTCTTCCTCAGATGTGTCGTCCGGTCAGAAAGAAGAGCGGCCGGTCTTCCCTGGCATTGGCGGTCTGGAACTCATCGCGCAGCCGGAACTGCCACTCATCCTCGAGCTCCAGGCGGACAACCGTCTGGCGCAGTGAGCTCCGGTCCTGACAGATGACACACAAGGTCGCACCTGTGTGGACAACGGCAGAGATGCAGGAAGGAAAAAGGTGAGTTTATCCAGATGAAAGCGGCTGCCTGGATTCTACTTGCAATGGCAAGACAGGGCACTGCTGGGAAGGGCAGAGGCGGCGTCCAAGTCAGCCTCTTGCGTCTTTCAGGATGATGTGCAATCTTAGTGAGACAGGAGTGTGGCTGGGATGCGGCAGGTGTGCGGGGGAGAAAACACGGAGGCAGAAGGAAAGCTGAGCAGGGACTGAACTGAGGTGTGGAGAGGAAGGAGAGAGGCTGGTCGAATTGCAAACCAAGCATCCTCAGCCCCAGCCGGTAGCTCACATACCCCACCCTACCTACCCCACCTTACAGCTTCATAGCCCTCTTCTGCCACCGGTCCAGGCCTGAGGCAGCCCCCACTGTCCCATGTGCCAACCACAGGAATTCTCCTTCCTCTCAACTCCCAGCACATGGCGACACGTCAACCCAGTCTCCTCCACGCTTTCCCTCTCTGCTCCCTCCCCACCTTCGTGTCCAGTCCTCCCTTTAGATGAAATGTTTCCCAAGGCAGAGACTGCTGTAGAAACCTCTTGATCTTTCCCAAGGCCTTAGACGCTGTTGGTGCTCACTCAGTGCCTGCCAGACAGGAAGGTCAGAGCCAAGGGCCACCAAGGAGAGCGAAGGTCAGCTAGGGATCTGAGCAGGACTGGAAATGCAGACTGGAAATCATGTTTTCAAGTCATGCAGAACAAGTGCTTGTCATTCTCAACCAAGCTGGCGCAGACAGAAGGAAGGCTGGCGTAAAAGCCAAGGTGGTGTGGGACCTCCCAGGACGAGGAGAAAGACTCGTCTACCAGGGGGAAGAGTGTCAGTAACGACTGGGACACTGATGTGAAGGATTTGGGTTGGAAAAGAACACAGATGGCTGGTGCGGTGGCTCATGCCGGTAATCCCAACACTTTGGGAGGCCGAGGTGGACAGATCACCTGAGGTCGGGGGTCAAGACCAGCCTGTAGGTGGTCAAGACCAGCCTGTCCAAGATGGCAGAACCCTGTCTCTACTAAAAATAAAAAATTGGCCGGGCATGGTGGCAGGCGCCTGTAATCCCAGATACTTGGGAGGCTGAGGCACGAGAATCACTTGAACCCGGGAGGCAGAAGTTGCAGTGAGCCAAGATTGCACCACTGCACTCCAGCCAAGGCAACAGAGTGAGACTCCATCTCAAAAAAAAAAAAAAAGAAAAAAAGAAAAAAAAGAAAGACAAGAAACACAAAGGCTAAAAAAATGTCTGCAATTCATCTAAAAGAAAGGGGGACGTGTCTTGCCTCTACCCAAACAGGTATAGGGAAGAGAGAGCCCCCAGAGATCAAATCCCAGCTCTCTTGCACGCTCCTGGGTGGCTGAGGCAGTCACTTCTCTCTCTGATCCTCAGTTTACCCATGGGTAAATAAGGACTAGGACCAAAGGTCCCCTCCTCAGGGTACCCAGTGACTACAGCCATTGAAGACAAGGTGCAGGGTTAAGAGTACAAAAGTTACCTTTCAGAAAATGAAACTTTTTCAAAAAGCTAGCTCCCACAAAAGAGTCACAGAGGTACAGCAGCAGTCCACTGAACAGCAAGTCCGAGCAGCTGATGTTTAAAGAGTGGGGCCTGGAGCTCACATAGCAAACAGAAATCTGAAAAAGAAGAAATCTAAGAGAGAGCACCGTTTTCTATGAAATGCTCAGTAATGTTTGCATCTAGTAAATACCAACTGCTTGGTCCAGCTCAAGATTTTTGGGGGGCCAGAGACAATATTTTCATGTTATTTCCAAATCCGTATCTGAAAAATCAATTCTGGAAGTTTTATCCAGATTTATCTAGCCATGAGTTCATCTGAGAATCAGAATATTTAGGCGGGGCGCAGAGGCTCACACCTGTAACCCCAGCATTTTGGGAGGCCGAGGCAGGTGGATCACCTGAGGTCAGGAGTTGGAGACCAGCCTGGCCAACATGGTGAAACCCCATCTCTACTAAAAATACAAAAATTAGCCAGGCATGGTGGCATGTGCCTGTAATCTCAGCTACTTGGGAGGCTGAGGCAGGAGAATCACTTGAACTCGGGAGGCGGAGACTGCAGTGAGCCGAGATTGTGCCATTGTACTCCAGCCTGGGCGAGAAGAATGAAACTCCATCTCAAAAAAAAAAAAATGTTTGGGCATCAGAATTGGGCTGGCTTCCTATCTTCTTACTTCCAGGCAAAGCATCTCAGCTCTCTCAGCTGAATGGCAAAAGCTATAAAGTGGGGTCAACTCCGAGACGAAGGAGTTGAGGACTTAGGATTCAGAGTCCCAGATTCCAGTCCATCGGTTCTAGAGATTTCTCTGAAATAGGGATTCGACAGCATCCCCTCTGAAAGTCACCTGAGATCCCAGGTTAAGGTAACAGTCGACAGACAGCACTGGGTGGTCATGGTTCTTCAGGGAGAGCGGGAAGAAGTGGTGGCTGTGGTGCTGCAGGAACTTCTCCAGCAGGAGCTGGGCGGGCGCCGCGAGGAAGGTGTGCTTGCTGTCCGGGGCACAGATGTACTGGGCCGGCACGACCGCCGCGGAGTTATCGGACACCTGCATGGGAAGGGGGGGTGTCAGGCCACTACTGCCCTGAGAGGCGAGGACCTTCCCACAGCTTCTGGGCGGCATGGGGTGGCCCAGAATGGAAGCTTGTGTCGCTCAGGGGAATGAACTGAGAACGCATACTTCAAGAATAAACTTCTCTGTCGAGAAAGATTAGGTTTTACTCAAGGGAAACATGCAAGAGACACATCCAAATGAACCAACCCAATCAGTAAGAATTACAGACACTGATCATTCCATGCAGGAAACTGGCTTTCCGGTCTAGAGAAAACAAGAGAACCCAGGGGCCTGGGGGATGCAGGCCTCTGGGAGTGGCCAGCTCCCCACCAGAGATCCTGTCCCAGTCCCGCCCAGCCCTGGGGCTCTTCCCACCCACAGCCGGCATCTGAACCACAGGCTCTTGCTCCATCACCAACACGTTTACATCAGACTCTCACTGGCTTCCCTCCAGTGAGTCCTAGAGAAAAGTCTGGAACTTTCCCATAGCTGGGAAGGCCTGCCTACTTCCCCAGCTCCACCCCACCACCCTCCTCCCCTTCCTCCATACTGACCTCCTCGCTCCTACCCTTCTGCACCTTCACCCACTGAAGGAATCCTGTCCCTGTCCCTGCCTCTGCCCCTGCCTCTGTCCCTGCCCCTGCCCGTGCCCCTGCCCCTGCCTCTGTCCCTGCCCGTGCCCCTGCCCCTGCCCCTGCCTCTGTCCCTGCCTCTGTCCCTGACCCTGCCCGTGCCCCTGCCCCTGCCTCTGTCCCTGCCCATGTCCCTGCCTCTGTCCCTGCTCATGTCCCTGCCCCTGCCTCTGTCCCTGCCTCTGTCCCTGCTCATGTCCCTGCCCCTGCCTCTGTTCCTGCCTCTGTCCCTGCTCATGTCCCTGCCCCTGCCTCTGCCCCTGCCTCTGTCCCTGCCTCTGTCCCCGCCCCGCCCCTGCCTGGATATGCGGCTCACTCTCTTCCTCCAGGTCTCTGCTTTAATGTCACTTCCCCGGGAACTCCCACAGACTCAGGTCTCCCCGCGACACACAGTTCACTTTTGTGGTGCTTCTCCCGATGGTCCTTAACTAGCCACGTGTCTGACATCTGCCCCGGCTGCTGGGCTGTGTACTCCTGAGCATGGGGATTGGCTGCTCAGTAAGTATTTAATGAATAAATGAAAACAATGCAGTGATTTCACTCACGTGGAAGATTATAAGACATGACTAGCTTTCTTATGTATAACCAATATGCAGTCAAACGTAGTAGAAAATTAAGATTATGTTCAAATAATAAAGATAAAATACCTAAGAGTTTAAAAATGACACTGAAGGACATAAGAGGAAAGTTCGTTTTAAAGGCACGTCTGGCCCTTTGATGGAGACATGGTAAGTCTGTTTTCTCTGATTAAACAACAAACTTCACACAATTTTAAGATCTCAGTGATGGTGTAAGTGGGGGCCTTTTATTTACAGGTCTTGTTACTTTGCAAGAGAAATGAGGAGAGGCCCCGCACTGCTGGAAAAGGCGCAGTACCTGCCTCTGGGGGTCAGTGAAGATGGAGCTGGTGTCCCAACTCAGACCCAGCCCACCTTAGTGTAGCTAACTCTGTCACCTCAGCAGTTTACAGAGATGACGAGGGAAAGAGGCTGGGAAAGGCAGCTGGTGGCATTAGGGCAGGATCAAGACAGACAGAAGTGACAGAGAAAGGGGTTCTGGCCCATAGGACCGGGGAGAGCTTCAGGCAGAGACACACCTGCTGCATTGCTTCCTGGAAGACACAGAGCTATCAAGATTTGCTGTGATTTTACATCTTAATTCCCCAGGCCTGCTTAGCTGGAACACACGTAATTGCACCAGGTCTCTCCCCAGCCCGAGGCTGCCCAGTGGACACACAGTGTGACTATGGGGCCAGCCTGCAGAGCCATTCAAATAGTTATGCAACCAGGCACCACCCCAGGGGCCCAAGGAAGAGCGTAGGCTGAGACCTCACCCAGCTGGGGCGGGTGAGAACACACAGGAAGGCTTGGTTGGAGCCTTGCCCCCAGCAGAAGCTTGCGGGATACTGGTTAATATATCAGAGGTAGAGGAGAGACCCCACGGAGCCTGTCATTTCCCAGGGCTCAATGCCAATTAAAAACCTTTACTGACCCCACCCAGTAGGGCCCCGCCCCACGCGCTTGAAAGAGACACGGCCTCCCCTGATTGCTCCTACCCTCAGTGTGCGTGCCAGGGCGGCCCAGGCGGTGGACATAGAGGCCTGCCCAGCAGCGAGGAGCTCACCTTGGACGTGATGTGGAAGGACCTGTGGCCGCCCACCACGATCTGCTTCTTCATCACGCTGAAGCGGTTGAACCGGCAGAGCAGGAGGCCGGCGCTGTGCACCCGCAGGTTGAAGTCTACATCGTCACACAGGAACCTACTCAGGGCCAGAGGAGGGGTGGGTCTGATGGGGCACGGCTCACACCCTCCGTCACTGCCCCCAGCACCTAGCGTGTGGGTCCCCGTCGTAGGGGGCTATGAAGGTGGAGTGGGCTTCATTCTTGCCTCAAGACCTTCCTTACTCTAGGGGAAATGTAAGGCAAAACAGACAAGGAAAACCCACAGGACAGACAGGGCCATCTCTGCACAGGAAAGGCAGTGTGTACCTCACGCTTCAACCACACGAGGACTGCCCGGTGGTGACCAGAGGCCAAGGGCCAAGTGCACGTGAGAAACGTTACCAACACGACCTCACGCATCGGTGAAAAAGCAAGCAACAAAAAACCTCCGAGGGTAAAAACAGGAGCCGCGTTTTACAGCTGAGAAGAATAGGGCTCGGAGGTGAGTGGCCTGCCTGTGCTCAAACATGATACACAGCAGAACCCGGGTTCCCAGAGGACCAGTCAGTCTGGCTCCAAAACCCACCCTCTTCCAGCAGCTGACGCAGGCTGTGGCCCAGTGCCCGGTGCAGACAGGCCCTCCATGGACACTGAGCAACTGAATCCTCTGGAGATGGGAGCACTTCTGTGACTAGATATGTACAGAAACCTACGGAAATTACCATTTTCTTCCGTGCTAAAGCTCCTAAAAAGCAATGTATCGGAAGAATGAATCGAAAAGGCAAGAAAAAAAAAAACCACACAGTCCAATGTAACTCACTCAAAGCATCATGAGAATTGGTCAATGAAGCTGAATGATCTGCGAGTACTCAAAATTATTCAGCACTAAAAAAACTGGGACAACGGGGAGCGAGGCCAGGCCAGTGCTCACCGCCAGGACGCCTCTGCAGCCCGAGGCTGCCCTCACTCAGGACTCTGCGCCCCCAGGGCCGCTGCCTCCCCCGCCCCGGGTGCAGGCGCTCACCGGTTCTGGTTGTACTGCACGTTCTGGGTCAGGTCCACGTTCAGGATGATGAAGTTGTGCACGTGGCAGCGGGAGAAGGGCTCTCGCACCTCGCTGGCCCGGGTCTTGCTGGACCACTTCCGCAGGCCCAGCAGGGCGTAGTGTGTGATGTTGGGGGCCGCCTCAATGTGCTGCATGATGTGCTTCAAAGACACGTTCCTTTCCGACCAGGAGAACTCCCTGCTCGAAGGAGGGAGAGTGAGCCCCTAGGCTGACACCAAGCAGCAGCAAGGCCCTTGGGACCAGGCAGTGTGGCACCGGCTCTGAGACTGCCGTGAACACCTGCACAGGCCGGTACCCTGCACAGGGCCCCAGGGGCCAGGCACCCTGCTGGGCGCTTCCCACGGGCACTCATTTCTTCTATGTGCTGAACACATTTGCAGACCATAATTTAGTCAATTCTCACAACAACCCCATGGCATAGGTATTAATCGCAGATGAGGAAACTAGAACCCAAAATGATTTAGCTTGCTTCAAGTCACACAGCAAATACAAATAAAGCTAGGAGTCAGCAGTCAGGCTAGCGAGGAGGGGTGGGGCTGGGGGCAGCAGGAAGGGAGTTTCTGGGGGGCAGCAATGTCCCTTTCTTAATATTGGAGTTGGTTAAATGAATGTGCTCAGCTTGGGAAAAGTTCTGTATATGTATTATACTTTCCTTTTTGTCTATATATTAAATGGATAGTGTGATTTTCTGTATTATACTTCAATAACAATTTTTTTTTTTTTTGAGACAGAGTCTCGCTCTGTCACCCAGGCTGGAGTGCGGAGGCACCATCTCCACTCACTGCAAGCTCCGCCTCCCAGGTTCACACCATTCTCCTGCCTCAGCCTCCTGAGTAGCTGGGACTACAGGTGTCCGCCACCATGCGTGGCTAATTTTTTTGTATTTTCAGTAGACACAGGGTTTCACTGTGTTAGCCAGGATGGTCTCGATCTCCTGACCTCGTGATCCACCCGCCTCTGCCTCCCAAAGTGCTGGGATTACAGGCATAAGCCACCACACCTGGCCCAAAGACAATTTTTTAAAATTAAAAGCAAGCCAGGCTTGGCACGTGAGCTCACTTTTACCACACCCAGGACTCTGGGAACCACACCCACCCCTTCTACTATGAGGCCCTCCGGTCTTCCAGGGTGGGCGTACTCCCCATACAGAGAGTGCACACTCGTTGGTCATCCTTCGTAGGGTGCCAGTGCTGTCAGGCCACCTCACCTGCTTCTCTCCCCAGCAGAGTCGACATCCACCACGTTCCACATCACGCAGGAGTCATCAGAGATCACGATGAAAGGCCAGATGTCCTGCGGCTTGATCCCCAGCTCCTCCTGACGGTTCCGCTCAAGCTCCAGGTTATGGTACGACAGCTCCTTGATGAGGAAATGGGCAGCACCTACAGTGGGCGAAGCAACTGGACTCAGGGCTGTCTCACACCCACACCCACAGCAGGCAGACCCCAGGCAGACCTGCCGCCAAGGCTGCCCAGACAAGCCAGCTCCAACCTTCCTGACATGCATCACCTGTTACAAAACATGGCCCACGGGCTAGGGAGAGAAAACTACAGGGAGGAAAACACTCCTCTCCAGGTGGAACACACATTTGCTTTCTTATGCTTTCTTCTCTAACCATTGAAAATATCAATTTGGCCAGGCGCAGTGGCTCACGTCTATAATCCCAGCACTTTGGGAGGCCAAGGCAGGCAGATCACCTGAGGTCACGAGTTTGAGACCAGCTTAGCCAACATGGTGAAACCCCATCTCTACAAAAATACAAAAGTTAGCTGGGCGTCATGGTTGGTGTCTGTAATGCCAGCTACTCGGGCAGCTGAGGTGGGAGAATAGCTTGAACCCGTAAGACGGAGGTTGCATTGAGCCGAGATCATGCCATTGCACTCCAGCCTGGGCGACAGAGCGAGATTCCATCTCAAAAAAAAAAAAAAAAGAACGAAAGAAAAAAAAAATCCATTAAAATGGAAAACAAACACTGGGGCCAGGGGGAGACTGCATAAAAAAGTCAAACAAAATGAAAATAGCTTTAAAAGTCCAAAAGTAAGAGGCTTGATGTCACATGTTTAACTTTCGTCTCTAGAATACTCTCTCAAGTGTTCGTTCACAGGAGTATGACTGAGTAGATGATGTTAAAGGACACTCACCAACTCCAGCGCTATTGAAGATACTGGGGAGCACCAGCATGATGTGGTTGGGCCAGTATTTCTTATAAATCGCCATCTCGTATTCCTTGACGACCAGCACGTGCAAATGGCTGGCACCATCCATTGCATGGTACAGATTAAAGAGCCCATGTTCGTGACGGCCGGTGGTTGGAGTGAATGTCGGACTTTTTATATATTCATGGCTCTGCAAAGTACAGGTATCATGAGGTAGAGTGTTTCTAAATGTGGCCACAATTAGTCCCTTGAGATGACTTTGCAGCATTTTCCATCACAGAATGATGACCATTTCCATATTGCTGGAATTTTCAGCCTTGTGACTTGCTTTTCCCAGTAAAAGGCAGGAAAAATGGCCTTGTGCCAGTCCTGGGCATAGCCTCAAGATGACTTACATGTTCCACTCCCTCTCAGAACTCTCCCATGAACAAGCCTGGGCTAGCCTGCTGGACGATGAGAGACCACTTGGAGGAGAGCTGAACAGCCTAGCTGAGGCCACCAGCCAGCCCGCAGACAACCTGCTGGCTCACTGTCAACACGAGTGAGTGAGTACAACCGAGCCCAGAAAACCACCTGGCTGAAGCAAGCCCAACCTGCTAGCCCACAGATCCCAAAGCGAATGCTTATTTGGGAATGGTGTGTTAGGCAACAGAAACTAACTGGCATATAGCAATTAACCAAATTCATTACCCTCTCATATTAGAATCTAATGTTATGCCCAGAGTACTCATTATTCATGTATGCCTTGCATTTTCCATACACTAGGAACACAGAACACCCCCCAATCGCTGCCCCATAGAGCTTAGCTATCCACTTGGGTTGTTATATCTTTCATGTAAATAACTGTTTTCTTCAACTCCTTCCTTAACAATAAGTTCATCTGGCAGAGGTAGGCCCTCTGCTCCCTCTGAATTCCTCAAAGCACCTGCCAAACACTGTGAAGCACTGGTGCTCACGGCCAGCTCTGCCAGGAAGGCCGGAAGGTGAGTGGAGTGGTGGAGAAACCCCAGCTCTCGTATTTCATCCATGGAATTTCACCGCAACACCCAACCCCAGCCCGTGGGTTAGGAGGTACCTTACAATGAAGGCCTGTTGGGTACAGTACAAATATTTTCATTGCTTAATAACAGGCTGCTGGGTCTGAAAGGCCAGGTGCAACTCCACAGGTGCCTGGCACTCTGGAGAAGGAAAAGCAGCTTCTCCACATGGCCTGCCTTGAGTGGGGCTGGGTAAGGAGCAGCCAGCTGACCCTGAGGTGATCAGGTGAGCACTGGCAAACCAAAAGCTCTACAAGGAGCATCTCTGTAAGAATGGTCAGAGACAATGGTACGTTCAGAACAATCTCTTCAAAAGATAAAAGGAAATGTGTCTTTTAGAGAGACACACTGAGATATCTATATCTATAGGTATAAAATATCTATAGATAGATGACATGATTTGAAGTCTGGGATTTACTTCCAAACAAAACAGGAAGGAAGAAGAGGAGGGAGGGATGGATGAAACAAGGCTGGCTGAGTTAGCAATTGCTGGAGTTGGTAATGGGCTCTAGAGGATTCACTGTACTGTTCTACCTAAGCCTATGCGAAATGTTACCTGGCAGAGCATTCAAGAAAAGATGGAGCAGATGAACATCTACCCAGCTCCTGTTATCTTCCAGGCACGGAGCTAGGGCCTTTCGTCAGTTATTCCAAATAGTTTTCACCACAAGCTTTTGCAAGTTACTACTGTTCAACATTACAATGAGGAAATCAAGGCTTGCAGATACTAAGTGACATGTTCAAATACACAACTAGTAAATGGTAGAGCAAGGCTGAGGCTTGAATTGGAGTGAATCCAGAGCCTGTGTGCGACACCAGCCTCCTCCAAGTTCAGTCCCTGTATCGGTGCCTGCACTCCCTCATCAGGCAGCTCTGTCTCTAGTCCCCCACTCAGTCCCCACTTGAAGCCACTCGGATCTGCCCCACTAGGTCTCTGAGCCAGTACCTTGTCTGTCACGAGGGGCAGTCGCATGCTCTCCAGCTGGCCTCCAGGTTGGCTGAAGACAAAGTGGTGCTCCTTGGACTTGGGGATGATGAAGTGCAGCTGGATCTCCTCTCCTAGCATGGAGTAAGAGAAGGCAAAGGCGTGCAGGGTGGACTCATACAGCTGGGGTGTGGGGGAAAGGACAGAGCTTGCCGTCAGAGTCCGGCCTGCTTTCCGGAAGACCCCAGGCCCACCCTGCTGTGACAATGTGCAGTTCACGGTCACCTTTTCCCTACAGCACAAGAAACCCACAGGGTGACTCCAGTGAAAAGTGTAGACACCCAGGTCTGTTGACAGGGCAAGCACGCCCGAGGCCACACAGCCAAGGCGAGAGCCTGCTCCCATCCTCAGTCCGCATGGGGCCCCACCCCGCTGTGCCACGCAGGCAGCAAGCTTTTTGGTCCCCGTGGCTTTGAACCAGAGCCCTGTTCTGGGTCACCAACTAAAGCATTCATGCTACAGAGCTCATTTGTAATTCTAATACATGTATTTTTCCATCACAGTTACATGCAATCGCATATTAACACTAGCTGCATACGCTTGGACGCTCCCATAACACTTCTCGCCTGGTACCGTTCTGTCCTGTGTGCTGCCATTAACAATCCTAAAAAGCAGTACTGTCATCATCCCCATTTTACAGATGTGGAAACTGACATTCAGAGACCTTGGGCTCACTCCTGTCACCAAGTCTGGCTGTGCCCTTAGTCACCTCCTCCAGCCTCCATTTCCCAGGAGTCTCACACCCCACATCTGCGCACGTGCTGCTCTGGGTGTGACTTCCAGCCCAGCTTTGCCCTCAGCTTGAACATCCTCTTAGGACCCCACCGACTCACAGCCCTCCCTACTGACATCCCCTCCTAGCATGTGCTCTGCATGCATCCCAGGGTCCCCAGGGGAGGAGGCGGACGAGCACACACTGCTTTAATCTCTGCCATGGCTCTGCTAGACCCACAGAGCCCTTTCTTTGGGAGCAGAGATGAGGGACAAAGGGATTTTGACTGGGGGAGGCAGTTAAGGAGGACACACTGAGGCAGTTTCATAAAAAAGGTCAAGGGAGCCTTGGAAAAGAAAACAGAATGAGCAGGTGCAGGCCACATGGAGATGGCAGCCAGTGGGTCACACGACCTCTGCACCAGCACCAGCTGGTTTTAAGCCCTCTCACCGTCCCAGGCCTCCTCATCTTCCACTGTGGCCCCCAGACCTGCACACCCCTGAGAACACAGGCCAGGTGCAGCCCAGCCGGCTGCCTCTCCTCCTCCTCTGTGCTCGGGTGTCTGTTGATGCAGCCCGAGGTCCTGACGGCACCGCCCACTCCCGACACTGACAGGGATGACTGGGGACTGACACCCTTCAGTCTCTTTCAGTTCCCTACATTTCAAAATCAAGGATGTGTTTTCACATATGCTTTTGTTTGCCTTGAAAGAAAAACTACGTCTCCAAGAAACAAAATGTTAGGAGAGTTTATCTGGAACAAATGGGATTACTGATTATTTTGACCCTCAAAAAATTGCTCGTATGTTCTTTCATCTACAGTACAACTGCATACTCAAACAATGAGTGCTGCGTCCCAGGCAGCCAAGCTCAAAGCCAGGCAGACAGGGGCTGTTTCCCTCTGCAAAAGGGATGGAAAGAGAGGCCAGTGATCTTGCCTCAGGCCTTTCTGAAAGCAGCCCAAGACATCAGCCGCCCTACACGCCTCTGCTCCCCAGCCAGGCATCTGACTAGCTCCCGCCAACTCTGGTCCTCTCCCTCCGCCCCTCTCCCTTGCTTGGGTCTGAAATGAAAAGAAATATTCCATGTAAAATATATCCTCTCCCCTGTTTATAAATAACCAGCCTCCCAGGCACTCCATACACCTCTATGGGACTAAGAGACCAGTCTAAACACAGCTCTGCCCACACTGGGCTCCACTTGGAGTTCCTGCTGAAAGAGTCCTCGTTCCTCTCCACAGTGCCCACCAGGCGTTTTGTGGTCTGGCCTCTGCCTACCCTCCGAGTTTCGTGGCTGAGTGTACCCACCCCAAAGTCTGGGTTCTAGACACACCCAACCCACATCACTTCCCATCCCCCGGAAACCCTACCTCCCCTCTCCCACACATGCTGTCCCTCTCCCTTCATCTTATCAATTCTTGGCTCCTTGGCAAATTCTTATTAATTCTTCCAAATCTTTTCTCTTCCACTCCCCACCCAAACAGGATCCTCATTTATAAAACAGGGACAATGAAATTTTAGTGTGAAGTAAATAGGACACTAGACAGGACAGTTCCCATCCAGTGCACCGTGAGTGGCCTGCAGGTGTGGCTTCAGGTGACCCACCAGAGCCTGAGGCAGCCAGAGCCCTGGGTCAGGAGCCTTATCAATTTCTATGTGTCCAGGATAAATATTTTCTATTGCACAAAAGGTTGGGAGAGATTGATACATAAAAAGTGCCTAGGCACATTGCCTAGCATGCAATAGGTGCTCAATAAATGCAAATTCCTCCTCTTATCAATGGATTTCTGTGCTTCAACCATAGTACTCTTTTTGCCTGCTTCACATCATTATGTTTTGCTTATGTGCCCATCTCCCTCCTAGACTGAGTGTGGAGGATGGGGACAGAGTTGATTCAGCTCTGCACCCCCAGTGCCTGGTACAGAATAAGCACCTGGTGAGCATCTGCTGCATTGGACTAACTTCTGAAATCACTGGGACCTAAAGATGATGACCACTTCCACGGCTGGGTAACTTGGCCACTGATAAACACACAACCCCAGGAGAACCATGGTGCTCTAGTTCCAGCAATAATTCCACAGACAATTGAAGGGAACAGAGGATGCAAATAGACCAGGAAGCCAGGGCTTCCAGAACTCTCTATCTCCTACTCTGGAATGAAAGGGTGAGAGAGCAGGGGAATGGACGATGTAGGCCAAGGTGAAACGCCTGGTGGGGAGCTGCTAGGGCCTACCTGGTAGCGGGGGTGGAAGCCCATGTACTGGTGGCACTGCTCGCAGTGGTGGTAAGTGTTGTATGCTGCGTACTTGGACAGTCTCATCCGTGCCGTCTGACGCCGCACATAAAGGTCCTCCGGCTTCCGGGACATCCCTCTGTCTGCACCAAATTCCCCAGGATTAAAAAGCAGCAGGGAGCAAAGCAAATATTATCCCCTGCCTGCTCAAACAGAAACCAAAATGCTCAAAATGCCCAGACAACAGGATTCTGTCCTGTTGGGGAGGACTGCCTCTCACCTCCCTGGGCCCTGATGTGACAGCTGGTCAAAGGAGACAATGAAGGACCACAAAAGTGTCAGTGGAATAAACTAATTAAGGCACTGTCCATGTCATGTCTTACTGTAGACTAAAAACATTTCATCAGCACCTATGTAAAGATCCACTATCCAATTTAAATCGATTGCCAACTTAACATGCCAGCGCTGAATGCAGATGAACTGCCCCTTGTTTTTCTTTTTTTGTTTGGTTTTTGGAGACAAGGTCTTGCTCTGTCACTCAGGCTGGAGTACAGTGGCATGATCTCAGCTCACTGCAACCTCCACCTCGCAGGTTCAAGTGATTCTCCTGCCTCAGCCTCCTGAGTAACTGGGGTTACAGGTGCATGCCACCACACCTGGCTAAGTTTTGCATTTTTTTGTAGAGATGGGGTTTTGCCATGTAGGCCAGGCTGGTCTCGAACTCCTGACCTCAGGTGATCCGCCCACCTCAGCCTCCCAAAGTGCTGAGATTACAGGCGTGAGCCACCACACCCGGCCCCGGCATGTTTTCCAAATGACCTGGCCGATTAAGATGTTAACACTCTGCCTTCATTAGAGACTGGCCTACAAGAAGGATCCTTGGTGCAAGGGATCTATTCTGATAGCAAAGACGATAAAGTTGTTGGTTTAAAATGGAGTCTGGTGGGTCATTGATATGGTTTGTCTGTGTCCCCACCCAAATCTATCTTGAATTGTAGCTCCCATAATTCTTACATGTTGTGGGAGGGACCTGATGGGAGATAACTGAATCATGGGGGCAGTTTCCCTAATACTGTTCTCATGGTACTGAATAAGTCTCACAAGATGTGATGGTTTTATAAGGGGTTTCCCCTTTTGCTGGGCTCTCATTCTCTCTTGCCTGCTGCTATGTAAGACGTGCCTTTCGCTTTCCACCATGATTGTGAAGCCTCCCCAGCCACATGGAACTGTGAGTCCATTAACCCTCTTTTTCTTTATAAATTACCCAGTCTCAGGTATGTCTGTCAGCAGCAGCGTGAAATGGACTAATACAGTCATTTCCTTTCTCATGGCATTTACCAAATCTTTCTAATCTAAGTTTATAATCGCGCTGGCCCCGGTACGCTGCAGTGTCAGCACACCACAGATGTTGGGGATCCCTAAGGGGGAGGGAAAAATCAAGACATTGGGGGAGGAGAGGTGAACAAGTGTATCCGTTTTGACAATTCCAAATTAGTAAGTAAACATACACATCTTTTATCTTATATTAACCAGAGTCTTCAGAATATTCCAATGGTGACAAATCAGCAAGGGTGTCGTCATCGTCACTTAGCACTTCCTGAGCAACACTCTTCAAATCACAGATTTCCATTCCTCCCTTCCTCATACAGGGAGGTGGTGACCTCAGTTCTGTACTACGTATGGCAGGTTAATTCGTCACCACCTGATTTTATGCCTAACAAAATCCAGCTCGTCCCTTCAAGAGGCTGTGCCCATGCACTTTGGAAGGTGAAATGAGAGATTCAAAGTCTGACCTTCACTCTTTATACTCTGATAGTGTGAACAAATCAGGCTGGCATCTTCATACTTCGGGTCATGAATGATGTAGTCAAAGGGCAACTTCTTGAACAGCTCCAGGTCTGGCCAGGGGTCGCTAAGCTGGAGATAATGCCAGTCAGATTCTTCTCTGAGGTCTACAAGATTGGTAGAAACATAGATGTGACAAAATAGGAAGTGAAAACGATTTACAGTCATGCGTCGCTGAACAACACAGAATACGTTCTGAGAAATGTGACATCAGGCGATTCTGTCACTGTGCTAGGCACAGCCTGCTACACACTAGGATATGTGGTGTAGCCTACTGGTCTTGGGCTACAAACCTGTGAGCATGGGTGTCCAATCTTTTGGATTCCCTGGGCCACATTGGAAGAACTGTCTTGGGCCACACATAAAATACACTAACACCAATGATAGCTGTTGAGTTAAAAAAAAAAAATTGCAAAAAGAAATCTCATATGTTTTCAGAAAGTTTACAAATGTATGTTGAACTGCATTCAAAGCTGTCCTGGGCCACATGCAGCCCGTGGGTTGGACAAGCTTACTATCTAGCACGTTATTGCACTAAATACTGCAGGTAATTGTAACACAATGTGAAGCATTTGTGTATCTTGGCCAGGCGCGGTGGCTCATGCCTGTAATCCCAGCACTTTGGGAGGTTGAGGCAGGTGGGTCACCTAGGGTCAGGAGTTTGAGACCAGTCTGGCCAACATGGTGAAACCCCGTATTTACTAAAAATACAAAAATCAGCTAGGCATGGTGGTGGGTGTCTGTAATTCCAGCTACTCGGGAGGCTGAGGCAGGAGAATCACTTGAACCCAGGAGGCAGAGGTTGCAGTGAGCCTAGATCTCGCCATTGTACTCCAGCCTGGGCGACAAGAGCAAAACTCCATCTCAAAAGAAAAAAGAAAAAAAAAGGATTTGTGTATCTAAACACAGAAAAGTCATGGGGGAAATACGGTATAAAAAATGTGAAAGGGTGCACTATACCGGGCACCCATCATGCCCGGGGCTTGCAGGACTGGCAGTTGCTCCGGGTGAGTCAGTGAGTAAGCAGTGAGCAAATGTGAAGGCCTGGACATGGCCGTGCATTACTGGAGACTTTACACTCTCCTCTTAGGATACACTCAATTTATAAACGATATTTTTCTTTCTTCAATAATAAGTTAACCGTAGCTTACTATAATGTTTTTTTTTTATGATATACTTTAAGTTCTAGGGTACATGTGCACACGTGCAGGTTTCTTACACATGTATACATGTGCCATGTTGGTGTGCTGCACCCATTAACTCGTCATTTACATTAGGTATATCTCCTAATGCTATCCCTCCCCCCACCCCCCTCCCCACAATAGGACCTGGTGTGTGATGTTCCCCTTCCTGTATCCAAGTGATCTCATTGTTCCATTCCCACCTATGAGTGAGAACATGCAGTGTTTGGTTTTCTGTTCTTGCGATAGTTTGCTGAGAATGATGGTTTCCAGCTGCATTCATGTCCCCACAAAGGACACGAACTCATCCTTTTTTATGGCTGCATAGTATTCCATGGTGTATATGTGCCACATTTTCTTAATCCAGTCTATCACTGATGGACATTTGGGTTGATTCCAAGTCTTTGCTATTGTGAATAGTGCCACAATAAACATACGTGTGCATGTGTCTTTATAGCAGCATGCTTTATAATCCTTTGGGTATATACCCAGCAATGAGATGGCTGGGTCAAAAGGTATTTCTAGTTCTAGATCCTTGAGGAATCGCCACACTATTTTCCACAATGATTGAACTAGTTTACAGTCCCATCAACAGTGTAAAAAGTGTTCCTATTTTTCCACATCCTCTCCAGCACCTGTTGTTTCCTGATTTTTTAATGATCGCCATTCTAACTGGTGTGAGATGGTATTTTATTGTGGTTTTGATAACTTTTTAACTTTATAACATTTTTAACTCTTCAACTCTTTCGTAATAACACTTAGCTTAAAACAAATACATTGTACAACTGATCAAAAATGTCTTCTTTCTTGATATCCTCATTCCATGAGCTTAATATTTTAATTTTTCTACTTTTATTTGTTTTTGTCATTTTTCTTGAGACAGGGTCTCGCTATGTCACCCAGGCTGGAGTACAGTGGCACCATCTCGGCTCACTGCAACCTCCACCTCCTGGGTTCAAGCGACTCTCCTGCCTCAGGCTTCGGAGTAGCTGAAATTACAGGTGCATGCCAACACATCCAGCTAATTTTTGTACCTTTAGTAGAGACGGGGTTTCACCATATTCACCAGGTTGGTCTCAAACTCCCAGCCTTGCCCCACTAGGTCTTTAGGGGCAGTAACATTCTTGGAGCTGTGATCTCCTATGAGAACAATGCCTTCTTCTGAAGTCTCTCCTGAAGGACCTGCCCAAGGCTGTTCTACAGTTAACTGCTTTTTAATAAGTAGGAGTAGAGTACCATAAAAGTATGGTAAATACATAAACCAGTAACAGCTGTTCATAATTATCAAGTGCTATGTACTGTACATAATTGTATGTGCTAGACTTTTGACAGTACTGGCAGTGCAGGTTTATTTACACCAGAATCGCTACAAACACTTGAGTAACGCCTCTTGCCACGGCATTCCGATGACTACGATATCACTAGGTGATAGGAATTTTTCAGTTCCCCTAGAATCTCATGGGACCAGTGTCACAGATGCAGTCTGTTGACCAAAACATCATTATGTGGTGCACAACTACATTTTAAATGTGCACAAAGGATGATGCTTGGAGTGCAATTGTTATTGAGTCCGTGGGCTGCTGGGAAACCCCATTGTATCTGCAAGGCTCTTGACACATATTCCATTTTCAGGATTGTTCTAATGAGGCAAGAACGTGGATTCAGAGCTATCTCCATCCAGAGGAACAGCCTTGTGCTGTTTGCTGTGAGAATGCCTTTGCTCTCCTGTCCTAAGTCTGACTTCCACTCCGGCCAGAGTCTTGACCCAGAGGACCTCAGCCCTGTGCTTCACTTCAGCACCGTCTCCCCAGGTGACCACACTGGTGGCCAAAGCCAGCAAAACCTGCATAGCTTCCTTTCTTGCCTCTATCTAAATGCTCCCCAGCCAATATGGCTCAGCTCCTGTCACTCCACCTGTAGAAAGGCTCTTGGAGTGCTCCAGCCCAGGGCCTTCTCCCTTCTGGTGCCAATAACATTCGTAGTCCAAACCAGTTTTCCATTTGCCATGTCTCATCTCACATGGTGATCATTGTAGTCTATGGTGCTTACTAAATGTCTGTCAGCTAAAAGGTAGAAAAATCTAGTTGGCCCAACTCAAATTCTAAAACGTGTTGATTATATTAAATACATGTCCTACTATAGTGCACACATGGGCAGAGTGCATGTCCATAGGAAGGCAGGGGAGAAATGCCTATGAATATTTAATAGGTTTTGGTCAAGCATGGTGGCTCACACCTGTAATCCCAGAACTTTGGGAAGCTGAGGTGGGTGGATCAGTTGAGGTCAGGAGTTCGAGACGAGCCTGGCCAACATGGTGAAACCCTGTCTATACTGAAAATGCAAAAATTAGCTGGGCATGGTGGCACATGCTTATAATTCCAGCTACTCCAGAGGCTGAGACAAGAGAATCACTTGAACCTGGGAGGTGGAGGTTGCAGTGAGCCGAGATGGTACCACTGCACTTCAGCCTGGGCAACAGAGCTAGACTCTGTCTTAAAAAAAAAAAAAAAAAAAAAAAGGTCTTGGTGCTCTGTGTGTGTCACATTTAATCCCTATAAAACCCTATAAAACAGAAATTATCCCTATTCAACGAAAGAGATAAGATTTAAAGAATGGGCTTTATCATTGAACAAACTGGGTTCAGATTCTGTCTTTATCACTGGTATGTCCAAGAAAGAAAGGAGACAAATTCAGCAGGGCTGCTGACTTCATCTGAAATGTGGTTCCAACCCGTAGGGAAACCTTAGAAAACTCAGAGCCAGGCTGAAGAGCCTCTCCTTTCCTGGGAGGGAAGGCTGAGGGCTGGATGGGTTTCCTTGGCTCCAGATTTTCTCCAAATCAAAACTGAAGCACAGTTGACAGCACCGCACCAAGTGCCCTTCAGCACCGGTGCAGCTGGCTGGCAAGCTCTCCACGACACAGACAGGACTGTCTGACAAGCTCGCTCTCCCAGCACAGCAGACTCATTGACCAGACCAAGTTTATGAGCCCCTGGGAGGAGTGATGATGAGGAAACAGGGGAGGTTATTTTATATGAGCTCAAAAAGAAGCTGATCTTTTTTTTTTTTCTGAGATGGAGTCTCGCTCTGTCGCCCAGGCTGGAGTGCAGTGGCGCGCTCTCAGCTCAGTGCAAGCTCCGCCTCCCGGGTTCACGCCATTCTCCTGCCTCAGCCTCCCGAGTAGCTGGGACTACAGCCACCCGCCACCACACCCGACTAATTTTTTTGTATTTTTAGTAGAGACAGGGTTTCACCGTGTCATCCAGGATGGTCTCGATCTCCTGACCTCATGATCTGCCCGCCTCGGCCTCCCAAAGTGCTGGGATTACAGGCGTGAGCCACCACACCAGGCCAAGAAGCTGATCTTAATCAGGGTAAACTCTGTTCTGGAAACGAGAACAGGATTTTCCCCACATTTCACGTATTTCTATTGTGCCCCAAGACACTGACCTCCCTGCCCAGCTGCCTGAGCAGGAAACCTCCCCTGAGGGGTAAGTCTGCTTTGCAGAGGCAGCAGTCAAATCTAATTCCATCCAGCCCTGCCACTACTCAGCTGGGCTCCCAGGCATGTGATTTATGAGGAGAATGGAACATCTACCTCACACTGGGCCTGGGAAATTAACATGGTAACTTATGCAAAGTATCAAGTTCAGCACTCCACATGCAGAAGGTACTCAGTAAATAGTCATCTACTAATCATAATTGTATCCGTACAGCAAAGGCCTGATACTGAGAAAAATGACTACAAGATAAATAGCACCCCCTATAAGGTCCTTGGGATGAGTCTGATCATGAATCTGAGAATTCCATCTAGAAAGTGAAATATAAAATTAAAGTCACTTGAGAAAGTGATGCAGGTGGTTCCAAGCCCACGTATCCCCAAACAGATAACTCACTGATATTGATCTCCTCCTCGTCATAGACATCCACTTCCGTGAGCCGAACAAGCATCCTGGACAGGACACTGAGGAACTGCAGGTAGGCGCCTGTCTTCCCGATCTGTAAAGGTATGGGAGTTAAAACCCCCAGTGAGGAAGCCCTATCCATGTGCCAGGCACCGGCTGAACACCTGGCATGGCTCCTGCCATCTGCCTCACTTGAAGATCCTGTCTTTAAAATGAGAGCCCCGTGGATGCAAAGATATTTGAAGGGAACAAGCATGGCAGGTGGACAAATGGACTCCCACAAGCATGAGGCCTTCCTGCTTAAATATTGTCGCAAACGCATCTCTAGATTTTAACCAGCCGCATTTTTCAGCTGTTAGAAACAGAATTTTATCATAAGCCGAAGAAAGCTGCTTCCAAAAACTAGGATACTACAAAACATAATGTCTTACGAATCTTGCAAATTGCTTGTCTTAATCCATATGTCTGTACAAGACAGCAAAATTCATTGCATAAGACATTTTTAAAAAGTGCTTCTTGTATTTCTCCTTCTAAACCCAGGAAAAGAACGACTATCTTCTTCCTTCTCCTGCTTCCTGTAACACAGAGCTCCCTGCTTCCCCAGCCAAGCTTCAAGGTAGCATACCTCCTATTAATCTTAGTTTATTTTGGTTATTACTGTTGAGAAGTACTCACGGTCTGGCCCAGTACCCTCCTTGCACCCCTGTAAAAGAGCCACTACAAGCGGGGTGGCTCACGCCTGTAATCCCAGCACTTTGGGAGGCCGAGGCGGGTGGATCACGAGGTCAAGAGATGGAGACCAGGAACCTGGCCAACATGGTGAAACCCCATCTCTACTAAAAATACAAAAATTAGCCGGGCGTGATGGCATCTGCCGGTAGTCCCAGCTACTCAGGAGGCTGAGGCAGAAGAATTGCTCGAACCCAGGAGGCAGAGGCTGCAGTGAGCCGAGATCATGCCACTGCACTCAAGCCTGGCGACAGAGCGAGACTCTGTCTGAAAAATAACAATAATAATAAATAATAACAATAATAAAAGAGCCACTCCAGGGATGTGCTTTCCAAGCACTGAGCCCAACGCCTGGTTCATGCTACAACTCAGCAAATGCCAATGAATGGAAATAACTAAGTTTACAGAGGAAAACATGACACCCAAGCACAGGGAAGCTTCAGAGAAAAAATCTGCAATACAGATGATAGACAAAGGACAAAAATCTGTAATATCTAAAGCACTTCTACAAATCAACAAGAAATGTCAAATGGCCTAAAGGAAAAACAAATAAGAAAAACCAGAAAATCACTGAAAAAGAAGTATCAATGACCAGTAAAAATACAAGAATATGTCAATCTTACTGGTAAAACTGTAATGTATTATTTTTCACCTATCAAAGAGACAACAATTTTAAATTTTAAATCTTACCAAGGAGACTCCTTGGTAAGAAACATTTTCTTTTGTCCTTTTTAAATGAGAAAAAGTAATATTGTTCATTGTACAAGTTTAAGACACAAATGGATACTGAACCGCATTCCAACCCCAAAGCCCAGCTCCGTTCTAAAGAGCAGACCTCAGTCCCTAGCCCTCCTCCTCCCCACATGATCACGCCCAGGAGATTCTGCCATTGAGAGGTGAAATGGACTTTCGCTATTAAGGAAACGCCATGCACTGGGGGAGGGCTGCGACGGGGAAACAGAACCCCCAGTTCTCCGTTCATGGTTCACCGAAACCTTCCAGTGGAGAACCCAGAGTTTTGCTTCTATTTGTTAGAGAACATGCGCAGTGACCGAGTGAGATGACGTGGGGTGAGGAACCGTAGTCTGATACACCCAGAGAGGTCTCCCATCCACCCCCAACATCACACAGGAAGGAATGGAAGCCACCAGCCCTGAGTGGCAGATGAGTCCCGCCCTCCTCCCTCTGGTCCACTCCAGGCCGTTGGAGAAGATTCCATCATGGGAAACGTGAAAAGCCAAGACGCGGGTGCGGTCACCCCCATGCCTGCCCTCCAGATGGGAGTGTGAGGACCCCCCAGTCCGGGGCTGTGCTGGGGCAGCGAGCAACACCCACCTGAGGGGGGCCACTGAGCAGCAGCCTGCGGGGGTGGAAGCCGTCCACGCGGCCCTCGGCCCGGTTGCCGTAGTCCATGTGGCTGGGCCGGGGCACCGTCCACTGCCGGTAGTAGAGGGACTGCTCGGTGGACGTCATGGTCTTGCTGAGCAGGGGGCGGAAAGAGCTGGCCCACATGACTGAGGGGGAGGGCAGCAGGGAGGCAGCCTTGGGGAGGCCGCTGCTGTCAGTGGACACAACCATGTCGTACACGAGCTTGGGCAAGAAGACGACAGGTGGCTGGCGACAGGCCTTGGTCAGGGAGCACTGGGAGGCCTGCAGGACCCACGTGCCGGCAGCAGGTGCCACGGATGAGGAGGATGAGCCCGAGGAGGAGGACAGCTGGGAGCACGACGAGGTGACCGACACCTGGACGCTCCTCTGGCTGGTCTTGAGGCTGCAGTCAGGCTGGGGTGTCAGCCCGGGACTGTGCCTGCTGATGGCCGACGGTGGCCCCTGACTTGCTCGGGGCCTCTGTTTCTCACCAGGGGCTCTGCCCTCCTCTGTGGGGCCACAGGGCTGGGGTGACCTGGCATGCTCTCCCTGGGGGAGCCCTGTGGGCTGAGCCGAGGACTCACCACCGAGCGCTGAACCTGAGGAGAGATGAACCTGGTCAGGGACGTCCTAGAAGGTACCTGTCCCAGGAGTGACCCATCCCAGGAGTGACCTGTCCCAGGAGTGGCCCATCTCAGGGGAGACTCGTCCCAGGAGTGGCCCATCTCAGGGGTGACTCGTCCCAGGAGTGGCCCATCTCAGGGGTGACTTGTCCCAGGAGTGGCCAATCTCAGGGGCGACTCGTCCCAGGAGTGAGCTGTCCCAGAGCTTGCCGGTGGCTCCTGTTTCTGCCCCAGGCCTCCTGTACTGTTTCAGGCAAACAGACCCAGTGGTTGCAGCGCTGGCTATTCTGACTGAGCTCCGGCCTATGAGGCAGGGCTTCTTTGGGTCTCCAAGCTCTGGGCTGAGGGTGAAGAGGCTCAGTGCTGACTCCATCGGGGTGTCTGGGAGCACAGGCACAGGAGATGAGGGAAAAAGAAGATGCCCCCAGCCAGTCTCCTGGTGGGCTCTGACCTCTGACCTTTCCCCATCCCAGATCAAACAGCAGCGACTCTCAGCTGTTTCCCCAGCCACAGCTAGGTGCTTCCCTGCCTCCTGCAATGGGGGCCTGCGGCCAGCGCACCTGTCCCTGCACCCAGGCCCTGTGCGTCTCACCCCTGAGCCTCTCAGCCCTTAAGGCTTCCTCCATTTATAACACCTTCTGCCAGGCCTGGTTGGGGGTCAGCTGCTCTCTCAAACCTGTGGTAACCTCACCTACCCTGAAATCTGCCCTCTGCCTTGGGACAAAAGTACAGACTTCCTCATATGTGAAGTGAAAATGTGTGCGAAAAACGACTGCAAAATAGTACATCTTTTATGAGAACGATGAGTTCGTTCCCTGAGGTCAGGTCTATATCTCATCTATCCTCAGGGCTGATCCAGATAGCAAGGAGGCCCTCATAATGCTTGTGGCGGGAAGACGGGACACTCTTTCATGTTCGTGGTCCTGACCGCTCTCAGAGACAGACGGACCCCTTAGGGCAGAGACTGTGTAAAGCCTGTGATTGGCACTGCCCACCTCCTGTGGCTCTGGCTACATGGAGGGCTCATGAGCTTGTATTGCCTTTTGTTGCTCTTCCCCCAGTGAAGTCTCCGTGTGTTTCTCTCCTTGTGCTCAGCTGCTCTCCCCACAGGGCACAGGGTTTTCCCAAACTAACAGCAGCAGGGAGAACACCTGGGGACCCGCCCCTAACATGGCCAGGACTCAGTCTGAGGCCCCAGCCACAGTGAGGGGCAGCGTCCATGGTCTTCACCTGAGGACAGGGGCAGCGGAACCCTACAGTCTTGCTCAGTCTTCAAGTTCTCCGATCCCAAGTTCACCAGAACATTTACTCTCTAGAGTCCAGTGCTTCAAAGATTTCCTTATCTTTCCAGTTCTGATGGAAAATAAAGGATCAGCAAATAGCCCTATATATGTTTCTTTTCATTCTCTGAAACCTCAAAAACCAGTTCGCTGATCTGGTCCTTCCCGCGTGGGAAGACTCACCGGACGCCTTGGAGGAGAGGGACGAGGATGCTGAGTCGTGGGAGTGGGACCTCTCCCTTTTCATGGGGCTTCTCTTCTCCAAGGTGGAGCCTGTTTCAAAACACACAGGCTGAGAATGCACCGAAATAACCATCCCTGACACTTGCCCAGCACTTTGCAGTGTGTAAAGTGTGTTCCCATGATCACCTCTCCCCAGCCATTCACTCATTCACTGCCATCTTCCAGGCCCCCACCACGGACAGGACACTGAGGAGACAGGAGGGAGTGGACTGCGGTGTAGGGAGGCACTCTGGGTGCAGCGAAGGCCCCTGCCCATGAGGCACAGCTGCAAGCTGGTAGAGGAGATGCAAAAAAGAGGGGTCGGGGAGCCTGCGGGAAAAGCAGGGCATCTCCTGGAAGAGGGGGCGGCTGGCCTTCGTCCTGAAGGGCCACCGGGCTTTCCAGGTAAAGCAGAGAAAGGAAAACTCCAAGCAGCAGGAAGGGCAGCCGTGCAGGAAGGGCAGCCGTGCATTGAGCGCAGAGGCCAGGAGGGCAGAGCACAGCCCGGCCACTGCAAGTTTAATTCAGGCCAGTGGGCAGTGCAGTGGGGGCTGTGGGTAGAGAGGAGCAGATAGTGAAACTAAAGAAAGGGGTCCTGAGACGCCAGGGAGCATGGAGATGTGCAGCAGATACCCACAAGTGAAAGAATTAAATCAAAGTCCCTGCTGTGTTTCGAAAAGATGGCTACAGGCGGGCAGGTCTTTCCATCTGCATTTTACAGACAAGCAAGCTGAGGCTAGCAGAGGTCCCATAGTCAAGACAGAGGAGGGAGACCACAGACCCAGTCTAGTGCCCACACCCACCTCCTTCCCCTCTACACACTCCATAAATGCTTTCTAGTTTTTGTATGATTGTCTACATATTTCTCATCACATTGTTGACTACAGTCAATGCCTTGTGATGTTATCATTTATGTGTCCTATTAAAAAGATGGCATCGGATTTGAAGAGTCTGCAAATGAGCCTGTTTTCATAAATTTTAAAAATGGACAGCATACTGTTGGGTTGATGCACAGAGGAAATAAGCAAGCAAATCACACCAGGTCAGAATCCCACCAGTGAGTGGAACGAGGAACTCTTAAGAAATTTTGAACTTGAACTCTAAAAAATCTTAATTTTTCTTCCTACTCTTTAAGAATTCTGGAACTAGGAAGAACCTCTATAGGGATTTCCATTTTCTCACACCACCAAAGAGACGGGGAGAAAACAAGCAAAATCTGAATTCAAGGAGAGCTCTGCCATTTCATCCAACACTGGAAACCTCTCATCCAGAGCTGCTGTCCAGCAGACAGGTCCCAGGATCCTGCTGAACTGGAGACGGCTGTCTCCATAAGCACAGGCAGCCTCAAAGCTCAGAAGCCAAGAAAGATGTGCAGACATGGACACCTAGGCTGAGGGCAGCCACCCCTCACCTTCTGTCCCCAGCTCCTCATCCTCGTTGTCTGTGCTGCTCAGCTTCTCTGCATCACTTTCCAAGGCCTCATTCCTAGCCCCCTTCTCCAAGGGAACCTCGTTGCTCACAAAGTAGGCAGCCAGGCCCAGCTCCTGCTCCAAGGCTGTTCTCACCAAGCAGGACGAGTTTATCAATCGCAGGTCGCAGTACCTCAAAGACCTAGCAAGACACAGAAGAGAGTGTCTGTTTAGCGCCTTCCACAAGTGGGGTGCTGTTCCCACTGCTATAGGCAGCACTGATCAGGACCACACCCCACCTTCCTGGTGAGGACCCAGGGACTCATACAAGTGGAAAAGCTAACAGTGTTACTGGGAGCTTGCAGCAACAAATTCAGTATAATAGTAAATCTTTGGGGACACCCACTATGCATTTAGCCCTGTGCTGCATTAACTTTTGAGCCAGACAAAAAAGGGGCTTGAACCTGAGCTCTGCTATAAGGCTCTGATTTTTTCATCTGAAAGATGGGAATAAATATTAATAACCATCTGGCTGGGCGCGGTGGCTCACGCCTGTAATCCTAGCACTTTGGGAGGCCAAGGCGTGCCGATCACTTGAGATCAGGAGTTCAAGACCACCTAACCAACATGGCAAAACCCCATCTCTACTAAAAATACAAAAATTAGCCGGGTGAGGAGGCGGGTGCCTGTAATCCCAGCTACTCGGGAGGCTGAGGCAGGAGAATCACTTGAACCCAGGAGGCAGAGGCTGCAGCGGAGTTGAGATTCCGCCACTGTACTCCAGCCTGGGCAACAGAGTGAGACTCCATCTCAAAAAAATAAAAATAAAAATAAAAAACATCTAAGTCCACTGTGATAAAGATTAAATGTAATCAGTGGGCATTTAATTATTCAATCCAAGTGAACACATGCCAGGGTACTAGATGCTAGAAATATGATGGCAATCAAGTCGGACACCAACAGGCAATGCTACCTGTGAGCAGGAGAGGAAAGGCCAACCCCATGCTCAGACTCACGCACCAGAAACACAACCAAGGCAAAGGGCTTAGAGAGGGGTACGTGAGGGTTCCAATGGGGCTCTGAAACTTACTGCTCACGTGACCTCAGGCAAATGATCGTTCATTGACTCAACCATAAAACAGGATGGTGATACTACTGCAGCAAGGAGTAAGTTTTATATGAAAAGTCTATCATGATGCCTGGTACAAAGAAGGTACCAGAAGGTGCCTGGTATAAAGAAGGTTACAGAAGGTACCTGGTACTCAGCAAATGCTTGCTAAAATTTAAAACAGATTAAGATATTGTCTCAGTCCTTAAGGAGTTGAAGAAGAAAAGAATTAATCCATGTGAAATAGCAACAACCAAGGTCAAACGTTCTGGAGTCCCCCTTCCCCTGGCCCATGAGTACGCAGTATGCAGAGGGCTGTTTGCTGAAGTGTGGGGTGGTCCTGGGGGAAGAAGCCAGGCCCACTGCCAGCCAGACTGGCTTAATCTCAGTAGGCCTCAGTTTCTTCATCTGTAAAATGGGACTACTGAAATAGCACCTCTCCCCCAGGGTTAAGGTGAGAGAAAAATGAAATAAAACATAAAAGAAGAATCTAGGACAGTGCCCAGAACATACAGGAACTCCACTGATGTCGGCTTTTACTATCTGTGGCCGGCCGTCTGCTCTTCTCCATGGGTATGAAGTCTCTAAAACCCAATCTGTCACTATCAATCCAAGAAACCGCCTTACAGGAGGCCCAGTGACCTGAGTCTCGAGTGTCTGCATGTCTGTGTGGTGGCCTAGACACCTTCCCCCAGGGGACATCGAGTGGATGTGTGGCTGAGACTTTCCAGGCTGTGATGGCTTCGGAGAGACACACCTTCTGAGACAGTCCACTCTGTGCTGGAAGAATCAGTACTTCCCAAGCAGCGTCAGTTGCCCCCACTCCCAGAACACCTCCTAAGCCAGGAGGGCCCAGGCATTGCGGCGGCCTAGGTACCAACAGGAACTGTGGCCGCAAGTCCTGGAGCGGGTGTCTTACTGTCCCAAGCAGAACTGCCATCCCCAACGCACACAGAGCGCCCCATGGGGAGAAACTGAACTCAGGAGGCTTTAAATCCTGACTCCAGCTGTAGGGCCTCCACTCGCAGAGCCCGGCCACAGCCATCACCACAAGCCCAAACTGCCTTTCTGACAATCAGGAAAAAGGGCACCGGCCTCAGATGCACTCCGGCCCCTGCTGGGAAAGCCACGATGAAGGTCCCACCCACGGTGCCTGTGAATGCGAGTGGTGCTGCCTGCCGTCAGGGCATGGCAGTCCCCCTGACATGCTCCCTGAGGGGGCCCAGGCAGCCAGCTCCTCAGAGACCCCCAGGGGCATCACCCCTCCACTCACCTTGGCAAGGACTCCCCGTGCGGGTCCATCCCACTGAAGATCAGGATGCAAGGCAGACCCTCCAGCTCCAAGTAAGTCTGGGGTCTCCACTCCACATCCTCGATTTTCTGCCACATCTGCAGATAACGAAAAAGAAATAAAGCCACAGACACCTCCCTTCCCAACCAGCCCAGCTCAGAGGAACCCTGATGGCCTCCCACACCAATTGAAACTCCTTGAACTACATCTTCTAACCAAAAGGAAATTTTTAGACTGCAAATAAGCACACCATGAAAGATGGGAATTTTCAGTCGTCTAGAACATGTAGACTAGTCAGCCAGAGGGTTTTCAAGATATCTCTGTCAGCTGACCAGCGTGAAAGAACGTCTGTGTTGTCAGCTGCTCCTTACGTCTTTTTTTTTTTTTTTTTTTTTTGAGGCAGAGTCTCGCTCAGTCACCCAGGTTGGAGTGCAGTGATGCAATCTCAGCTCACTGCAACCTCCACCTCCAGGGATCAAGTGATTCTCCTGCCTCAGCCTCCCGAGTAGCTGGGACTGCAGGCGCGTGCCACCCCATCTGGCTAATTGTTGTATTTTTAGTAGAGACAGGGTTACTCCACGTTGGCCAGGCTTATCTCAAACTCCTGACCTCAGGTGATCCGCCTGCCTCGGCCTCCTAAAGTGTTGGGATTACAGGCGTGAGCCACTGCGCCCAGCCAGCTGTTCGTGTCTTGCCTGTGTTCTCTCCTGACAGTGTCCTCCCTTTCATTCCTGTTTTCCACTCATTTGTTCTTTCCCTAACCTTTTTGCACTTTCTGTCACCTGCGGGTTGAGTGAGAACCTACTATGGGTCAGGCGCTGTGCTAGGCTTTGGGGGGCTGAGTTCTGTGGGGATGGCCTTCACCCCCCACCATCCAGGAGGGGGTCTGGATGACAGGCAGGGAACATGGCACTGCCCTGGGCATGCTGGAGGGAGAGAGTGGCTTCCTGAAAGAGGAAAGACGCCAAGCTAAGTGCTGCAGAAAATAAGCAGGGCAGCTCACACCTGGAACCCAGCACTTTGGGAGGCTGAGGCAGGATGATCGCTTGAACTCAGGAGTTTGAGATCAGCCGGGGCAACATAATGAGACCTTGTTTCTCCTAAAAATTTTAAAAATTAGCCAAGTGTGGTGGCACACGCCAGTGGTTCCAGCTACTCGGGAGCCTGAGGCGGGAGGATCCCTGGAGCCCAGGAGCTCAAGGCTGCAGCGAGCTGTGATCGCGCCACCACACTCCAGCCTGGGCCACATAGTAAGACCCTGTCTCAAAGCGGAAAATAAAGAAGCATCAGCTAAACAAAGAGAGGAAATGGATCGCCAGGAAAAAAGAAAGCAGGCTGCTGCCCAGAGGCCTAAAGTCATAAGGCAATGCAGCAGGGGTGTGGGGGTGCTGCTGGGGTGGAGGGCAGGGGTGGGGAATCATAGAGAGGAGGCTGGGGGGTGGCTGGGTCTAGGCAAGCCACGCTGGCCACGCTTTGGGGTTTGTGCCACTTCCTGCCTCTGGTGGGCCCCTGAGCTCTCCCAGGTACCCCCAGGCCCTCTGCCCCTCCCCGCGCATAGCACCTACCTCCACCGCTCCCCGCACACAGCACCTACCTCCACCCCTCCTTTCAGCACCTACCTCCACCACTCCCCGCGCACTTAGCACCTACACTCCGCTCCCCGCACACAGCACCTGCCTCCACCTCCCCGCGCACAGCACCTACCTCCACTCCTCCCCGCGCACAGCACCTGCCTCCCCACCCCTCCGCGCACAGCACCTACCTCCACCCCTCCCCGCGCACAGCACCTACCTCCACCCTCCCCGCGCACAGCACCTACCCTGAGCTGCTTTACGAAGTGCTTCCCCACGGTGACGCCCGAGCTGGGACTGCCCAGGATGATCTCGAAGTGCTCCTCCAGCGCCAGCCGGGCCCGCACGTGGGCCAGCCGCTCATAGGCCACGGCCGCCAGGGGCGAACAGGGCACCCGCAGCAGGACCATGAGCCCGTGGCCACAGGGGCACTGCTTCGGGTAGTTGAGGAGGTTCTGCGTGATCTCCAGCGTCTCTACCGACGTGTAGTTCTTCATCTGCGGGAGGCCGCTCACGGCCATCAGGGCGGCCGCGTAGTGCTGCACGAGAACAAAGGTCCTGATCACCGCGCTGTGCAGGCGGGGGAACCTGCAAGGAACACAGAGAGACCATGCCTGTGACGGCTGCGCCCGCCGGCCTGCTGCTGCCAAGTCACCCAAGACATCCGTCACTCTGGCACAGGCAATTCCTGCATTACACACAGTTGTGCTGCCTTTAGAAGGTGGTTGTGGGAACCCGAATGAGAAGGCTTCTTTAGAAACCAAATTATACAGTCCTTTTTTTTTCCAGCTGGGAAACAAAAACATAGGTTTGTTGTTATTATGTTTTTCAGCATTTGGCACTTAGTAGCTGCTCAATAAATATCTGTCCGATGAATGAGCTGACGAAGAAATGGTATAAATGCCTATTTTGTCTCTATCAGCATAATGCGCAGTTCTCTGAGGAGGTGGCTAAGTTGTCCCAGGTTCCTACTAGAAACAGGAGAACCACCAGCAATCAATATGGAAATGCAGCTACCGAAGGCCCTAGTTCTAAAGGCACATCTCTGTGTTCACTTCGATCACAGTGAATTATTAGAAATATAACTAAACATATTTTAATTTGACAGACGAATTACAAATCAGAACATATCCAGCCAAATCAAGAATCCCAGTTTTTGCTTTAGAAACTGTGGTTACTATATGTGTCCCCACACAAAGGTGGTGGCTGCTCCCACAACCACCTGCTCTCCTAGAGTGGCTCTGACCCATTAGTCAAACAGACCCCAGGGCACCAATGGAAAAGCCCAGGTCCCTGTAGATGATGGTGTTTCTCAACGGGAATAAATAAAGTGGTATCCAGTTTATGCAAATGTTCTTCTGGGTTGATCGAGCTGGAATAGGTCCCCCTAACTCTGGCTTTTTGTAGCAAAGGTAAGGTAGTTTATCAACCTACAGAAATGAGTACCACATCGTGGCCATGCCACCCTGTGAGTTCTATCAGGGTGGCCAGCTTGCCTTCCTACAGCACCTGATAGCATTTCTGACATTGCGATGACATCCCTGCTCCTGCTTCCTGACCATCTTCCTCCTTTTCTTCATGCTTCCTTCAGCACTTCATTCACTATGCAGGTCACATAAGCTGGAAGCCGGCCTGGCAAGCTTCCCATTACAAGTGCCGTCTCAGGAAAGCATAACTGGTCCACAGACTCTGGCATGAAGGGGACTCAGCAGCCCACAGACTGCTTTACTTACCCCTGGTGCACCAGTCAAATAATGCCCAGGAAACGGACTGCCTGAGGTCCGGAGTTTGAGGCCACCCTGGCCAACATGATAAAACCCTGCCTCTACTAAAAATACAAAAATTAGTCGGGCATGGTGGCACATGCCTGTAATCTCAGCTACTTGGGAGGCTGAGGCAGGAGAATTGCTCAAACTCGGGAGGTGGAGGTTGCAGCAAGCCAAGATCATGATCACCACTGCACTCCGGCCTGGGCCACAGAGCGAGACTCCATCTCAAAACAAACAAACAAACAAACAAACAAACAAATAAATAAATAAATAAAAATAATAATGCTGCCCGGGAAGAAAGAAAGAAAGTGCAGTAGGAAAAATGGGCTCTGCTCAAAGGACAGAGACTTCTGCTTCTGACAAGATGGAACAACGGGATCAGATTTACCCTCACATCTGAAACAGCTGAAAAACTGAACACTCTAAATGAAACAACTGCATTTCAATACATGGAACATCAGGCAGTGAAAGACAGTGATCCTAACGATGTGAGACAAATCAGGTGAGCCCCCCAGCTTCTGCCTATAGTTTCTGGGATGTATTCAGGAAAAGGGAAGCCAGCAAAGCTTGGTGGTCTCCCTGAGTTGAGGAGAGGTACTGAATTCCAGGAAAACCAAGGCAGCTAGAGATCACAGGGCAAAGTACCAAAGAGGAGAGATCTGCAGAGGGTCTCCCTAAAGTCTTCAGCTGACATGAGCAGTGCACATATGTAAGGAAATGACCCAAGGCCAAAACAAGAATCCTTTGGTTGCAAAAGAATTAAAGGGAACAATGTCTCAAGTTCATGTAGGGCTGGGAATAGTTCCTGTTTCCACAGCCAATATGGAACACCTCAGAGTCATGAAACATTATAGAGTACTTACTCAAAGAATTTTGTCTCAGTAACTTTTGGCAAAGTTAGCCCTACATTAAATACTGCTCTGGTCCTGCCTAACAAAGTTTAAAACCAGGACCTGGAAGATTAAACTGTGTCCAAGTAACTTAGTTGTATCTCCCCCTCAAAAAAAACTCAGTATTTAGAGACATACAAATATATCTAGCACCCAACAAGGTAAAATTGACAATGTCTGGCATTCTCTCAAAAGTTACCAGACATGTAAATAAGAAGGCAAATATGATCCATAATTGTAGGGAAAAGAGAGATCAGACTATTATTGTATCTATGTAGAAAAGGAAGACGTAAGAAACTCCATTTTGACCTGTATCCTGAACAACTGCTTTGCCCTGAGATGCTGTTAATCTGTAACTTTGCCCCAACCTTGAGCTCACAAAAACATGTGTTGTATGGAATCAAGGTTTAAGAGATCTAGGGCTGCGCAGGATGTGCCTTGCTAACAAAATATTTACAAGCAGTATGCTTGGTAAAAGTCATTGCCATTCTCCAGTCTCAATAAACCAGGGGCACAATGCACTGCAGAAAGCCGCAGGGACCTCTGCCCTGGAAAGCCGGGTATTGTCCAGGGTTTCTCCCCATGTGATGGTCTGAAATATGGCCTCGTGGGATGGGAAAGACCTGACCATCCCCCAGCCCGACACCTGTGAAGGGTGTGTGCTGAGGAGGATTAGTAAAAGAGGAAGGCCTCCCGCAGTTGAGATAAGAGGAAGGCCTCTGTCTCCTGCCTGCGCCTGGGAACAGAATGTCTCAGTATGAAACCCGATTGTACATTTGTTCATTTCTGAGATAGGAGAAAAACCGCCCTGTGGCGGGAGGCGAGGCGTGTTGGCAGCAATGCTGCTTTGTTATTCTTTACGCCACGGAGATGTTTGGGTGGAGAGCAGCATAAATCTGGCCTGCGTGCACATCCAGGTATAGTACCTTCTCTGAAACTTATTTGTGGCACAGATTCCTTTGCTCACGTTTTCTTGCTGACCTTCTCCCCACTATCTACCTGCTCTCCTACCACATTCCTCTTGCTGAGATAGTGAAAATAGTAATCAATAAATACTTAGGGAACTCAGAGACCGGTGCCGGTGCAGGTCCTCTGCATGCTGAGCGCCGGTTCCCTGGGCCCACTGTTCTTTCTCTATACTTTGTCGCTGTGTCTTATTTCTTTTCTCAGTCTCTCATCCCGCCTGATGAGAAATACCCACAGGTGTGGAGGGGCTGGCCCCCTTCAATAATAAAGGCGGGGGGAACAAATTGATTAATAGAAACCGACCCAGGAATGACACAGATGACAGAATTTACAGACAGCAAAATTAAAACAATTATTGTAACTATATTCTGTATGGTTAAAAATCTAGAGGAAAGACTGAACTTGTTGATGTAAAAATCACAAATTAAATTCTAGAGATGAAATCTTCAATGTTGTAGATAGAAAATAAACTAGACCCTGAATTCTCATGGGAGCTATGATCTTTGTACGTGACCTTGCCCTGCCAGCCACAACAGACTTGTTCAGGGACGGAAACCCAACTCAGGCTGAGCCAGTCTTCTCTTGGAATTTTTCAAACTATAACAAAGAATAATTCTCCCCCCCCCGGAATCTGGAGACTGCGAGGCTCAGCATCAAGCAGTGGTGATGTTTTTCAGTGCACGGAGGAAGGCATTGTGCAGTGAGATACAATACGACCATCATACAGATACCAAAGACAAAACAAGACAGTCTTGGCAGTGTTTGAATACTTAAGTTGTTAGGTATCTCTGCTGTTCTATGGTTTATTTGTTCAACCTTTCCTATTATTTTATGAGTCAGTACATCCCTCTCTTTTTCTTAAAAGAGTTCAAGTTGAGTTTCTGTTACTTGCAACAAAGAGTCCTGATTAATAAACACAATAACGATGTATCATCAATGTGTATGTACATCAATGCATGTGACACCTGAAATTGTCTTTTTTCTCTTAGGAATCTTGTTATAAAACTGTGCTTTTGTAAGATAAATACACATACACACACACACACACACACACACACACACATATATACTGGATGAAATTGGCAGATTAGATAACATAGAAAATAAGACTCATAAACTTGAAAACACAGCAATAGAAACTAAAATATTCCAGCACTTTGGGAGGTCAAGGCAGAAGAATCACTTGAGGCAAGGAGTTCAAGACCTTGGCAATAGAGCAAGAAAAATTTTCAAAAATTGGCCAGGCATGGTGGCACGCACCTGTAGTCCCAGCTATTTGGGAGGCTGAGATGCGGGGATGGCTTGAGCCCAGGAGTTTGAGGTTACAATGAGCTATGATCATGCCACCACACTTCAGCCTGGGCAACAGCCCTAAAAGATTCTTTAAAAAATAATAATAGGCCAGGCATGGTGGCTCACATCTGTAATTCCAGCACTTTGGGAGGCCGAGGTGGGCAGATCACAAGATCAGGAGATCAAGACCATCCTGGCCAACATGTTAAAACCCTGTCTCTACTAAAAATACAAAAATTAGCTGGGCATGATGGTGTGTGTCTGTAATCCCAGCTACTCAGGAGGCTGAGGCAGGAGAATCGCTTGAATCTGAGAGGCGGAGGTTGCAGTGAGCCAAGATCGTGCCACTGCACTCCAGCCTGGCGACAGAGTGAGACTCCGTCTCAAATAATAATAATAATAATAATAATAATAATAATAATAATAACAATGAAACTAAAATCAAATAGCAATCAATTAAAAGGCAGAGATTGTCACATTTGATAAAAAAGTAAGACTCAACTATAAGCTGCCTACAAGAAACCAAGTTTAAACACAAAAAGAGAAACATGCTCAAAGTAAAAGGATAAAAAATTATAATCTATAGTAACACCAGTCAAAAGAAAACTAGAATAATTATTAATATCAGAAGAGACTATAGAGCTATAAATAATATTCTTTGGGTCGTTTGAAAATAATAAAGGAGTCAACTTATCAACAGACACTTCACCAAAGATGATACACAAATGGCAGATAAACATAGGAAAAGATGTTCAACATCATTAGTCACTGGAGAAATTAAAATTAAAATTACGAGCTACAGCTTCATACCTATTAGAAAGAATAAAATTTAAAATACAGACCATATCAAGTGCTGACAAAGATGTAAAGCAACTGAAATTCTGATGGGAATGTAAAATGAACCACAGTTGACCCTTGAATAACATGGGTTTGACAACTGCAAGGGTCCACTTGTATATGGATTTTAAACCAAATGCAAATAAAAAATACAGTATTTTCTAGATGTGAAAACCATGGACATGGAAAGCTGACTTTTGCTTACATGTGGGTTCCAGAGGGCTGACCATGGGACTTGAGTATGCATGGATTTTGGTATGTGGGGGACAGTTCTGGAATTAACCCTCCATGTATGCTTTGGAAAATAATTTGGCAGCTTGTTAAAAAGTTAAACATACACCTATCAAGTAACTCAGCCATTTCACAACTAGGTGTTTACCCAGGGAAAGTGAAAGAATATGTCTATACTAAGCTTTGTATATGAATATTCATAGCACCTTTATCTGTAACAGATAAAGAAAAACAACCTAAATGCCTCTTAACCAGTAAATAAACAAACTAGTATGGCCATACAATAGTATTCTATTCTAGAACACCAGCAGTGAAAAGGAACAACCTATTGATACATAAAAGAACATGGATGAATTTCAATATAATTATACAGAGTGAAAGACGCCAGGTCAAAAACAGAGTACATATTGTACAATTCCATTTATATAAAACTCTAGAAAATGCAAACTACGTTTCTACAGTGGGAAAAGGACAGGAGGAAGGAATTACAAAGGGGCAGGAGAAAACTTTTCTTCATTACCTTGTGGTGACCATTTTACCAGTCTATACATGGATCAAAATGTAAACTGAATACTTTAAATATACATGGCTGGGCGTGGTGGCTCACGCCTATAATCCCAGCACTTTGTGAGGCCGAGGTGGGTGGATCACGAAGTCAGAAGTTCGAGACCAGCCTGACCAACATGGTGAAAATCCATCTCTACTAAAAATACAAAAATTAGCCAGGTGTGGTGGCAGGCGCCTGTAAGCCCAGCTACTTGGGAGGCTGAGGCAGGAGAATTGCTTGAACCCAGGAGGCAGAGGTTGCAGTGAGCTGAGACTATACCATTGCACTCCAGCCTGGGCGACAGAGTGAGACTGTGTCCCCCCAATAAAAAGAAAAACAAAAAAGAAAAGAAAAAGAAAAAGAAAAGAAAAGATGTACGGTCTACTGGCTGTCAGTTATTCCCCATTAAAGCTGCCATGTAAAAAAAAAAAAAAAAAAAAAGATAAGCATTGGAAGGAGGCTCTGGTGCCCAGCTCCAGACAGCACCCCCAGGGAAGGCACAGAAATGTACCTTAGCCGTGGCTCAGCAGAGAACTACGCCCACCCTTAAGCCTCTGTGGTGGGCACTGAAGGAAAGAGGTTCCATAGACAATACATTAGAACAAAAATAGGAGTTGTCAAAGGTCTAGATCTTTTGGTTTTAAGTTATAGTCGGTTTGTGTCCAACTGACAGTCCTATAAGCAGTTTTCCCAGCCGTATGCTGGCGTTTATGACACATGGAGGACTAACAGTCTGGCCACACATACGGCGGCAAGAGGCAGTAACCCCATGTTCTAACCTTTATCTCCTTCTGTTCAAATTACCAGTTTCAAGGGCATTCTCCAGACAAATGATTCCTAGTGAAGGCAGTGCAGTATGGTGGAAAGATGTCGAACCTGTCTGCAGTCCATGTTGCCACCAACAGGCTGCATGAGCTCGGGCAAATCACTGTCCCACTCCGGGCTTCAGTTCCCACAATAATAAAATGAGGTGATTGGGCCAAATAATTCCTAGAAGTTCCTGTGATTCTCCATACTTCAACATTCCAGGGATTGATAGTCTCTTCTCACCCAGTGAGACATAAGATTAAATCTCTGCAATGCTTCTAGTTTAGCAGAGTGGGAGGGAGAAGACAGGAGGATGATGGTGATAGTGGTGGAGGTGGTGGTGCTTGCAGCCAACAGGAGCATGTAATGTGTGTCAGGCCCTGTTTCCAGTGCTTTACGTGTATAAATCCATTTAATCCTTACAGTATCTCTATGATGTAGGTGTTATCATCCCCAAAGAAAATGGAGAAACTCTCAAAGTCTCACAGCTGGTTAATGGCAGATTCAGGATTCAAACCCAGGAAGGATGATTTTGGAGCCTGAGCTCTCAGCATGCAACTGTTACTGAATGTGCGTACGTACGTTATCTCAGGAAATTCTAAGAAGCCACTAGGAAGGTGGGTTTGTTCTACAGGTGAGGGCACAGAAGTTTAGACAGGTTAGATGATTTGCCAAGGTTAAAACTAACAGAGGGCAAACCAAGATGTACTGGCATGTTGGTCACAGCCTATCCTTTACTAGCTGTGAGCTTTTGGTCAGTATGGCTTGGTGGCTACGTGGGTTTGGAGCCAAGGAAGCAGGGTTGGGGTCCAGTTTCACTATAAACCCCCCATGTGACTTTGGACAAGTGGCCTAACTTCTCTAAGTCTCAGTTTCTTCATCTGAAAAAGGGGGATAACAGTATTTCCTATCTCACTGTGTCACTGTGAGGATTATTTTAGGTAATAAATATAGAGCACTGAGCCCAGTGTCTACAACATACTAAGCACATCACGTGTGCTCACCGCCTGAGGAGAAGCAGAGGAAGGGCAAAGGCTGGTTTTCTTGCCTCTGAAATCTTGGAGGGCTACTTCATGCAGCAAGTTGAGAGCTCAGCTGTCGACCCACATGCTGGAGAACTGACCTGATTAATTTCTGTCAGTATCATAGAACTGAATAGTATCTAAGATATTTAGTTTCTCCAAGAGTGTTCTGGGAAATTCTAGTCCCATGAGCTACTGGACACATCTCTAGCCTTCTGGAGAATTATAGCATGCATGGATGTGCTGAAGGCTCCAAGAACTCTCGTGGAAAAGAAGTCCTTTCCTTAAATGTTTCTCAGACACGTTTGACCATGGAACCCCTTTACGCTTAGCAACTATTAGTATCCAGCCAAAGCAGTATACCTTGGAACATAGCTTGAGAAGGATATGTCAAATTTCATCCCTTGTCTGCAAATGAGAAGATTGAGGTTCAATAAGAAAAGCGGGTAGAGACCAGCTCATGCTGACAATCAGTGGTATTTTGTTCAGTGGCATTTTCCTTTGCATTAGATCATCTATAAAACTTGGCCTGGCTTTACCACGAATAAACCATGTAGTACCTGGCAATCACTTAGCCTGTCTGAGCCTCAGTTTCATGTATAAAATGAGGTCTGTTGCAACAGAGTTAAAAGGCCTGGCTGTGCAGAGTGACTCTGGGTTCTCACCCAGTTCTGTCACTTGCTAGACATGTGGCCTGAGAAAGCTATGGGGCCTCTCCAAGCCTCAGCATCTTCATTTGCAAAGTATGGATAACAGCAGCAACCGGCTCAGCGAGGCAGTGAGGATCAAATCAGATAATGACAGTAAAGTCCATGGAAGAATCAACAACACAAAATAAACATTCAATAAATGATACGCATCAGAAATAAAAACAGAGCAGACTGTGATCATCAATGCAGTTTCTTTTAAAGCTTTGTTATCTTTCTCCCATTTTCCTACCCTCCATTGGTTCGAAAACATCATTCCACATTCCAGCATATTTCTGCTCACTGTCCTCTCTAAAATTTTCTAGAGCAACAGCATGACAAAGGGATTCAACATGACAAAGGAATTCACTGACCCAAAGGGATTCAAACACAGGAGAAGAAAAAAACCAGGGTGCATTTCATGGAGAAACTGAGTCACCCAGGAAGGAAAGGTCTCCCTTCCTGGAATTCCCTGGCTGGCTAAACGCACCTCAACTTCCCCTTTAAGCTACTGAGCACTTCTAGTAACTGAGAAGAGAAATAAGTACCTTTTTCCTAATGCAGTGACCATGGCTTCAAAGGAGCTGTCGTATCTGAGCAAGGGGAGGCTGTGCCCTGAAAGGGTGGATTCAATAAACTCCGACAGCCCGAAGTACTTCTTATTCTCATGATATAAGTCCACTCCCTAAAACAAAGAAAAGCATCGGTCACTCCAACATTGCATTCGCAGGGACGGCCAGAGGTTCACGTGCCAGGCCTGTGGACAACCTGGGTTGGCAGCTTCATCTAAATCGTGCCTACTGTGCAGCGGCTTGAATGGCATTTTATAAACTTCTTCCACCTGCAGAAGCAGAGCAAAGAACCTGCCATACTTTAAAAATGGTGTGTCCCCATCGCTCAGGAGTTTTCCATTCATTCGGTCCCAATGTCTTTACCAAGAAGAAAATCAGCCTTATCTTATTTTAACATATAAATGTCTTTGTCAAATTTGCTTCTTTCTACAATCTTAAGCTGGTTTTAGGAATAAGCAAATCAATTATCTGGCATATCTTGCATCTACTAAAAATCAGTAGATGGAAAAAACATTTATCTAGCCAATTTTACTCACACAGACATAAAATTCCAAAGGTGGGGGAATTTGTTGAAAGCACAAAGGCATGAAAACTCTACCCCTAAACAGCACAGTGGTTAAGGGCTGAGCCAAGGAGCCAGTGGGCTGGGTCATATCCCAGCTCCACGACTTTCTAGCTGCCTGGCCTGAGGCAAGTGGCCCAACTCTCTCTGTCTCATGTTCCCCATTTGTAGATGAGAACTCATCCTAGCACCTGCCTCTTGCATGAGCTCACAGCAGGAAGCACTTTGGGCAAGGCCTCCCTGGCTCATGGGAAGTGCCTTACGAACAATGGCTATTGCCACCACGGATTCTCGGTCCACAGGACAAAAGCCACGTATTTTTTTAAAGTTTCTCAGAGGATTGCAAGGCACTCCAAATAAGTCTCATCTTTTACCTTTAGTTATTCCTGTGTAACTAACTACAAACCACCCAGAATTCTCCAATTACCAGAATTGTTTTAGTCTTCTATTTTGATGAGAAAATGCCAGGTGATAAGCTAAAAACTCACCACATTTTGAGGATATGCGTTTAGTTTGAGGAAGGAGATTCTGCATCTCACTACTCAAGGATGTAGGGATAGGAAAACAGGAACCTTCCTAGGGCTTCTAGAGACACTGAGCATCGCTCTGTATGGAGCCCAAAGTCCCCAACCCCCAAGGGCTCTACCTTCAATATCTCCATTCAATGCCATAGAACAAACATTCCGAATGCCTCAGAAAGCTGCAGTCACCAGAGGAAATGTCACACAAACTGCATTACATCTTCCGAGATGAGGAGGCCAACTGGCATAATGCAGGAAGGTTTCCAAAAAGACCAAGAAGGATTTACACCTAACTCTGGGTTAAACCAAAGATCTGAGGAGCTGGAACCCATTATCCTCAACCACATTGGTCAAGGCTTTTACTAAATGTAATTTCTGCAAACCCAAGTGTCATTGCTACACAAGGGCCCAGCAGCCCCGTGGCACTCACATTGCTGCAGGAGGCGGGCCAGTGGATCTCATTGTAGGGGCTGATGAGGGTATGCTGTGTCTGCAGTGCGTACGGGAAGGAGGTCACGTGAAGTGTCACAATGTTAGGGGCCTCCTTCACCTCCCTGCAGTTGAGCAATCGGTCCACCAATCCCACCGACGGGTCACTTTGAGAATAGAGGTTATGAACAGCGCTACTGAGGGAGGAAAAGACACAATCAGTTGAATTACTATATTGTTTTCTAATTTTGCAAGGGTGAAGCAGTTGAATAAATGTATAACGAACCCCCGACTTTGCCCACAATTGAAGATTATGGCTCTGTCCATGACTAGGAATAGAGAAAAAAATGGCTGGAGTGCAGGTAGCTGTCAGGGACTCTCCCGAGACTCATTACTTAGGAAAAATGTGTCTGGCGGGAGGACGGTAGTCAGAGAGGATTTCTTATAAGACACACACTCCTTCTATCCCGATCAGTGATGTGTCCCCGAGAATGTTCCATGAATCATTCGTTCCTCTTTAGACCCATCTGATTGGGTACTTATCTCCTTACAAAGTCCTTCTGACCTTGAAACGACCCGGAAAAGATAGAAAAGAGTAGATTCTAGAGTCAGTTTAAAAGGCAGCAGGAGAGGATTGGGAAGCATTTTGGACAAGGGGTCTGGGAGACAGGCCCAGCTCTGCACTTCTCTGTGGGACAAAGGCCTTTGCATTCTCTCCTGTAAGTCTAGGGGATTAAAAAAAATCAGTGCTTAACCCTTTGGATGGCAGGAGGCCACTTTGAGAAACCTACTCCCAAAATGAATATTCACAATATAGCTCTTTCTATAATTTCGGAATGTTCCAATCTCCCCCAACCCCATACATGAATTCTGGATTGTAAACCCATTACGAGGTGATCCTTCAGGTCCTGACCAGCCCTAACTAGCTATCTGTGGATCTGTGACAATCAAAGGTTTTCTCCATGACCTGGTCCAGGAGCCCCCTCCTTTCTCATCTACATCAGAGGAAATGTCTGAGCGTACAACTCCTAGGCCAGTCTCACGGAGATGACCAATCCTGCTAAACCACCAGAAATCCTGCCAGATGCTTGGCTTGGCCCATCTGAAATTCATGTTTATGTTCATTTTAACATAGTGAGTAAAATCACCCCTTAAGAAGGGCAGGCATCGGCTGGGTGCGGTGGCTCACACCTGTAATCCCAGCACTTTGGGAGGCCGAGTCAGGTGGATCACGAGGTCAGGAGATCGAGACTATCCTGGCTAACACAGTAAAACTCCGTCTCTATTAGAAATACAAAAACAAAATTAGCCAGGCGTGGTGATAGGCGCCTGTAGTCCCAGCTACTTGGGAGACTGAGGCAGGAGAATGGTGTGAACCCAGGAGGCTGAGCTTGCAGTGAGCCGAGGTCGCGCCACTGCACTCCACCCTGGGCAACAGAGCGAGATTCCATCTCAAAAAAAAAAAAAAAAAAAAAGAAGGGCAAGCATCAGTGGTGACCCACGGCACTGGAGCCCACAGAGCCTCTTTCAGGGAAGGGCTAAGCTGAGCTACTCCTGCTAGGACCCTCTGCACCCCACACCAGCATGGCTCCTTGGGGCTGAGTGGACTATGAAAGAACCACATCAGGCATCAGGCTGTGATTCGAGGGCCTTGGCTCTGCCACTAACACCCTCCCACTCCACCCCGCCCTGTGACTCTGGGAGACACGCTTCCCTTCTCCAGCCATTAGATTCCACCATGGTAAATTTCAGAGGTGGCACTAGAGAATCCCTGAGATAACTTACAGTTCAAGATTGTGGAAAACATCCATGGCACCTGCTTACAAACACCAAGCCCAAACATCATCCATCTTTTCAGGATTTGTGCCCTCAGCCCCCAGGAACATCCACATATGTCGTTTCAAGGAAGGAAAAGGTCAACCTGTCACATATCAAGTCATTCTAACCTCACAAGATCCCAGTGCGCATGGTCATGGATGAGGACAAAAAGTGTGTGCGGGTTCTGGAAGGAGTTTTGCAGAAAAGCCTTAAATTTTGTCTGTGCCTCCGCGTCTAGCTTCAGGACATACTGTTCCACCCTCTGCTTCGTCATGTGCTCTTTCTCCAGACCAAGCTCCAGTAAAACCCCTGCAACACAATGGACATACATCAGTAACTCCCAACATGCCCCCTGGTTTCCATTCACTCAACAGACACCTGATGAGTGACTCCTATACAGCAGGTCCTGAGCTAGACCCAGAGATGCGAGAGTAGGGAAAGGGAGGGAAAAAGCTCCCACACAGGTTACAGCTGCGTAACTGTCCTGCCCAGGAGCTGGGGCGCAGGCAAGCCTTGGTTGTATGTACAGCAGCCCTCCCTAGGGGCACCGGCTTCACGAAGCAGCTGATCCCAAGCGTGGTAAGACAGAGGGAACCAAAAGGTCCTGCCGGCAGCAAAATCCCTCTCTCAGTCTGAACGCCACAGGGCTACACATTACGCCACTAAAGAGTAAGTCTTTTCAGTGAAGACACTGGACATCTGTGTACTCTGTGGTTAAATATGATATCCTTGAAAGTACAAGGATATCAGTGATGCTAAATAGCAACACATGGTTAGGTCACTAGCCTGAGTGGGACATGGTGAAAGTTCAAGTTTCGGCTCTACCTTCAGCAGATCCTAAAATCTTGGGCAAGTCACTGTGTCTGAACATAGGTTTCACAATCTATAAAACAAGGGCAACGATCCTTGCCCCATCCACTCTATAGCAAAGAACAGTGTCAACACCCAAACACGGATTTCGGCAGATCAAAGCTTCTCCACACAGGCCACGTGACTTCTCCCCGAAACATCCCATACCTGAATGCCACACGTGGAACAGAGTCTGCTGGTAGGTCACTTCTGAGGGCGGAATGCAAATGAGAAAGTCCACCTTCTCAAAGGATCCCAGGTCCAGATTTTGGGTGCTGGAATCCGCAATGGAACACACATGGGAGAGGAGCTTCTGCGCCACTGCCAGCTGGAAGGGCCGGATGCTGTGTGGCTCCAGATGGTAACCTGGAACCAGAGCCCCAGGATGCCAGGTGAGCCCCAGGGCACATGGCTACTGCCAGGCCCTTGGCCAGAGAATCAGTGACTGGTCCAGGGGAGACAGCCCCATGCACAAAGCGATGAGGGAAAGGGGAATAACTCTCGTTTATCAAGTCCCTGCTCTCAGCTAAGCAGTGGCGGGTGTGGGGGTAGCGATCATTTTATGCACCATCCTTCACTTAATAATAAAAGCAAGAACCAAGCACTTGGGGAGCACGGCGGAGGCAGTGGCCTCTTCTGCTTAGAGGGGACAAGGAGCCCATCCCAGGGGAGGTGACACTGAGACTGGACTTTGGAAGAGGACTGCAAGCTCTCCAGAAAAGAAAACTAACGATGGTCATTTAGGAACTCCGTATGAATAGAAAACATCAGCAACAGACTCGGAGGCAGGAAATGAGCATCGGGAAATCTACCATCTCAGAAACAGCGATGGATGTGCAATTCAAGATGAAATGAGATTGTCATAATTAAAGACTGAATTTTAAATGAGGCAGCAGGTCTACTGTGACTCTAAAAAGATGTCCTGTCTTGTGGATGTGCCCCTGACATTGCTACCTCCAATCTGAGCCTTGGATTCTGCCCCCCAGGCCAGACCCAGGCCTCGCCAGTGCACTCTCATCGTCCACTGGGCACACATGAGCCCTCTGTCCCCTCAGCACCCACTTAGCACACTTGTGCCCACTGTCCTCTCTCACAGTGCACACCTGTGCCCACTGGCGCCTCTCACTGCACACAGTTATGCCCACTACTCCGTGTCACTGTGCACATCTGTGCCCTCGCCCCCTCACTGTGCACACCTGTGCCCTTGCCCACTCTCACAGTGCACACCTGCGCCCCACCCCCTCTCACTGTACACACCTGTGCCCCCGTCCCCTCACTGTGCATACCTGCACCCCCAATCCCTCTCACTGTACACACCTGTGCCCCTGCCCCCTCACTGTGCACACCTGTGCCCCCACCCCCTCTCACTGTACACACCTGTGCCCCCGTCCCCCCACTATACACACCTGTGTGCCCACCCCCTCACTGTACACACCTGTGCCCCCATCTCCTCTCACTGTACACACCTGTGCCCCTGTCCCCCCACTATATACACCTGCACCCCCGTGAGAAAATATGCAGTGTTTGGTTTTCTGTTCTTATATAGTTTGCTGAGAATGATGGTTTCAGCTGCATTCATGTCCCCACAAAAGGACACGAACTCATCCTTTTATGGCTGCATGGTATCTCCATGTGGTGTATATGTGCCACATTTTTTTAATCCAGTCTATCACTGATGGACATTTGGGTTGATTCCAAGTCTTTGTTGGCTGTGAATAGTGCCACAATAAACATACGTGTGCATGTGTCTCTTATAGCAGCATGCTTTATAATCCTTTATATATACCCAGCAATGAGATGGTTGGGTCAAATGGTATTTCTAGTTCTAGATCCTTGAGGAATCGCCACACTATTTTCCACAATGATTGAACTGAATATGGTCCATCAACATGTAAAAAGTGGTTCTCATTTTTCCACATCCTCTCCAGCACCTGTTGTTTCCTGATTTTTTAATGATCGCCATTCTAACTGGTGTGAGATGGTATTTTATTGTGGTTTTGATAACTTTTTAACTTTATAACATTTTTAACTCTTCACAACTCTTCGTAATAACACTTAGCTTAAAACAAATACATTGTACAACTGATCAAAAATGTCTTTTTCTTGATATCCTCATTCCATGAGCTTGGCTATTTTAATTTTTCTACTTTTATTTGTTTTAATATTTTTTTCTTGAGACAGAGTCCCGCTTATGTCACCCAGGCTGGAGTGCAGTGGCATCATCTCGGCTCACTGCAACCTCCACCTCCTGGGTTCAAGCCACTTCTGCCCAGGCTTCGGAGTAGCCAAACTACAGGTGCATGCCAACATCCAGCTAATTTTGTACCTTTTTAGTAGAGATTGGGTTTCACCATATGTTCACCAGGTTGGTCTCAAACTCCCAGCCTTGCCCCACTAGGTCTTTAGGGGCAGTAAATATCTTTGAGCCACACTCCCATGAGAACAATGCCTTCTTCTGAAGTCTCTCCTGGAAGGACCTGCCCAAGGCTGTTCTAGACAGTTAACTGCTTTTTAATAAGTAGGAGAGAGCAATTATGTTATGTAAATACATAAACCAGTAACAGCTGTTCATAATTATCATGCTATGTACTGCACATAATTGTATGCCAGGACTTTGACAGTACTGGTGAGGTTTATTTACACCAGAATCGCTACAAACACTTGAGTAACGCCTCTTGCCACGGCATTCCGATGACTATGATATCACTAGGTGATAGGAATTTTTCAGTTCCCCTAGAATCTCAAGTGGGACCAGTGTCACAGATGGTAGTCTGTTGACTCAAAACATCATTATGTGGCAGTACAACTACATTTTAAATGTGCACAAAGGACATGCTTGGAGTGCAATTACATGAGTCCATGGGCTGCTGGGAAACCCCAGCCTAGTATCTGCAAGGTCGACATATATTCCATTTTCAGGATTGTTCTAATGAGGCAAGAATGTGATTCAGAGCTATTCATCCAGAGGAACAGCCTTGTGCTGTTTGGCGTGAGAATGCTCTTTGCTCTTCCCCTGTCCTAAGTCTGACTTCCACTCCGGCCAGAGTCCTGACCCAGAGGACCTCAGCCCTGTGCTTCACTTCAGCACCGTCTCCCCAGGTGACCACACTGGTGGCCAAAGCCAGCAAAACCTGCATAGCTTCCTTTCTTGCCTCTATCTAAATGCTCCCCAGCCAATATGGCTCAGCTCCTGTCACTCCACCTGTAGGAAAGGCTCTTGGAGTGCTCCAGCCCAGGCCTTCTCCCTTCTGGTGCTGGGCTAACATCTTCGTAGTCCAAACCAGTTTTATCGCATATGTCTCATCTCACATGGTGATCATTGTAGTCTATGGTGCTTAATAAATGTCTGTCAGAAGCAAAGGTAGAAAACCTAGTTGGCCCAACTCAAATTCTAAAACGTGTTGATTATATTAAATACATGTCCTATCATAGTGCACACACATGGGCAGAGCATATGTCCAGGAAGGCAGGGGAGAAATGCCTATGAATATTTAATAGGTTTTGGTCAAGCATGGTGGCTCACACCTGTAATCCCAGAACTTTGGGAAGCTGAGGTGGGTGGATCAGGTTGAGGTCAGGAGTTCGAGATTTGAGCCTGGCCAACATGGTGAAACCCTGTCTATACTGAAAATGCAAAAATTAGCTGGGCATGGTGGCACATGCTTATAATTCCAGCTACTCCAGAGGCTGAGACAAGAGAATCACTTGAACCTGGGAGGTGGAGGTTGCAGTGAGCCGAGATGGTACCACTGCACTTCAGCCTGGGCAACAGAGCTAGACTCTGGTCTAAAAAAAAAAAAAAAAAAAAAAAAAAGGTCTGTGCTTTCAGTGTGTCACATTTAATCCCTATAAAACCCTATATAAACAGAAATTATCCTCATTCAACGAAAGAGACAGATTTAAAAGAATGGGCTTTATCATTGAACAAACTGGGTTCAGATTCTGCTCCTTATCACTGGCATGTCCAAGAAAGAAAGGAGACAAATTCAGCAGGCTGCAGACTTCATCTGAAATGTGGTTCCAACCCGTGGGGAAAACTTAGAAAAACTCAGAGCTAGCTGAAGAGCCCCTTCCTGGGAGGGAAGGCTGAGGCTGGATGGGTTTCCTTGGCTCCAGATTTTCCAAATCAAAACTGAAGCACAAAGACAGCACCACACCAAGTACCCTTCAGCACCGTGCAGTTGGCTGGGCAAGCTTCCAGCTACACAGACAGGACTGGTCTGACAAGCTCGCTCTCCCACAGCAGACCCATTGACCAGACCAAGTTTATGAGCTCCCCCTGGGAGGAGTGATGACGAGGAACAGGGGAGGTTATTTTATATGAGCTCAAAAAGAAGCTGATCTTTTTTTTTTTTTTGAGATGGAGTCTCGCTCTGTCGCCCAGGCTGGAGTGCAGTGGCGCGCTCTCAGCTCTCAGTGCAGCCCGCCTCCCGGGTTCACGCCATTCTCCTGCCTCAGCCTCTCCCGAGTAGCTGGGACTACAGCCACCCGCCTCACCACACCCGACTAATTTTTTGTATTTTTAGTAGAGACAGGGTTTCACCGTGTCATCCAGGATGGTCTCGATCTCCTGACCTCATGATCTACCCGCCTCAGCCTCCCAAAGTGCTGGGATTACAGGCGTGAGCCACCACACCAGGCCAAGAAGCTGATCTTAATCAGGGTAAACTCTGTTCTGGAAACGAGAACAGGATTTTCCCCACATTTCCACGTATTTCATTGTGCCCCCAAGACACTGACCTCCCTGCCCAGCTGCCTGAGCAGGAAACCTCCCCTGAGGGGTAAGTCTCCGCTGGTAGAGGCAGCAGTCAAATTCCACCCATCCAGCCTCAAGCAATTACTCAGCTGGGCTCCCAGGCATGTGGATTTATGAGGAGAATGGAACATCTACTCCCACACTGGGCCTAGGAAATTAACATGGTAACTTATGCAAAGTATCAAGTTCAGCACTCCACATGCAGAGAAGGTACTCAGTAAATAGTCATCTACTAATCAGAATTGTATCCATACAGCAAAGGCCTGATACTGAGAAAAATGACTACAAGATAAAATAGCACCTATAAGGTCCTTGGGATGAGTCTGATCATGAATCTGAGAATTCCATCTAGAAAGTGAAATATAAAATTAAAGTCACTTGAGAAAGTGATGCAGGTGGTTCCAAGCCCACGTATCCCCAAACAGATAACTCACTGATATTGATCTCCTCCTCGTCATAGACATCCACTTCCGTGAGCCGAACAAGCATCCTGGACAGGACACTGAGGAACTGAGGCGCCTGTCTTCCCCATCTGTAAAGGTATGGGAGTTAGAGAACCCCCAGTGAGGAAGCTCTCATCCATGTGCCAGGCACCGTCAACACCTGGCATGGCTCCTGCCATCTGCCTCACTTGGAAGATCTGTCTAAAATGAGAGCCCCGTGGATGCAAAGATATTTGAAGGGAACAAGCATGGTATAGTGGACAAATGGACTCACGCCATGAGGCCTTCCCTGCTTAAATATCGCCGCAAGAAACGATTCCCAGATTTTAACCAGCCATTTTTCAGCTGTTAGAAAC